TTTTTTTTTTTTTTGTACATTTCAATGTTTCCCAAAACGTGTCCTAATTTTAATCTGTCTACTACGTCGGAAGAGTTTAGTGCCAGCTGGTTAACAGGAATTCGGGTAATCAGACGAACAGTAGTTCAGGGTTAAGTCCCGGCGTTGAACGGAAAATGGCGTGACAGGACGTTTTTCGCGCAACGTGCCAGGACGTTTCGAATCCGGTAATGGTCCGGCATGTCATACATCACGGAAATGTCGCGGACGTTTTTCTTTTCTTTTTTTTTTTTTTTTTTGTTTTTTGTTTTTTTTCACGACGCGTGCACTCATTAGCAAGTTAACTTAACCGTATTACACGATGTGCATCCGTGTGCATATAAACGGGTAGAGTCGAACACGCTCGCCGGGTCGGATCAATAACTTCAGGAATGGGCACTTGCCGAGTCGTACAGACACGCTGTGTATGACCTGTTTCTCGGTCTCTCTGGAAAATGGGAACGGAAGACTCTGATACCAGCGACCATCTTCTAAAGAGCTTTTAAAAGCTCGATCGTCTTTTTTAAAAATTAGACCCGACAGCCGAATTTTTCAGAATTTCGCCGACGTATTTAATTCAACGGGAATTGGAAACGAAATCTTAAATCACTAATTGCGAATAAATTTTAGTCGAAACAAAATCACTGCTGGTGGAAGAACTCACTGGTTTAATTAGAAATCGTGTGCAAAGAAATAAATAAGAAAATAAAGAACGAGGTTGCTCCCGGTTAAAAAAAGGTTAGCCAACAGATCGCAGGAACGTGATTGCAAAAGGATTAAACGAGTTGTTTTCGAAAGGTGTAGTTATTCCTGACTATCAGATAGCTGGATCACGTGTTCACTGAAATTCAGTTTACACGAAATTCTGGTCCGTATAGATTCAGAAAATTCGAAGGGGCGGTCGTGTAGAATGATTCGATGAATGTGAAAGAATCGTGGGCGATTAAGCGAAAGAAAAAAAAAAAGAAAAGAAAAAGTATACTAGATGCTTCGACTGATATATACGTCTGGAGGTTACTGGAAGGTTAGAGGATCGTTTGCATTAATGATATATAAACGACCACGATACATTGCCCTCGTATTTTAATCAAACGTAGACACGAATTCATGATATCACAGTTCGTTTAACTTAACGAAGAAATTCGAGTTTTCCCGTTTCATTTCGTAATTTGCGGTCTCCATTGTAAAGCAAATTAATTTAAAACAGTTAATTAATTTGTTAGCAACTTGTTACACTTGGTACATTTCACTATGATTGATTTGCAAAGATTTGGACAGTTTGATAGGCGAGGTATACCTTTGGTACGAGGAAAGACGGTATTCTAACGTTGTAATCAGTCAAATCGGGAATGCGTTGCCTCAATTATTAGTCTTTCGCACGAAGCTGCTATGGTTTCGTGATACCTACAGAAATGTATTTACCAACCAAGGTTAACCATCGCCAAGTATTGTATGTGGAAATGTGATCCTCCAGTGTTAGAACGGTTGCGTGCGCTTCATCCCTAAAACTTTCTCAACTTTCTTCTTTCTTCGCTTCTCATTGTACCTCAATGAACATTCACGCTTGAAACAGTTAATTACATTTTAACCTGAGGAAACATTTTCTTTTTCACAATTTCTGACAAATACTTGTTTCTCTACACGTTTACTAGAATTCTATATTTATTTCTATATACATCTATGAAAAGATCGGGAATTCTAATCTCATTTCTAATTTAGAGCACGCACGCGTCTTGACATTCACTAATAATAATAATAGAGGCACTAATAAAATACACTGAAAGTAAATGGACGCTGTAATCACATTACTTGTTGTTAGCGAATAGCAATACGTATGTTGGTCACAGTTTTAGAGTGTTATACGTAATTTCTAATTGAACGATATAGCTGTTGCACGCATCGTATAAATCTCCAAACAGGTAGAAACAATAATAAAAGCAAATTGCACCGTTAATTATTCGCAGAAACTAGTAGTTTGACTTTCGAATAATTTGATCCTTCAATCGTGCCTGTAAAAATTGTACAAATTGTACAAGCGCACAATACCTATGTACTTGCGTCTTTTGTAAATATATCAAATGTATAGGCATCCTTCAAAAATTAACACTTAACTGCCACGACGAAACGAAAAGTAGAAAAAATGATAACATTAAATATTCGTTTCGATTAATAAAATTTGTTAATCACAGATTTATTTCGATAGTTCAGGAATATATGATGCTTGCTCTTAAAATCATTAAAATCATTTCTACCAGTAGAAAAGCTGTTGTCGCGAATTCAATTTCTCCAATCTACGTTTTCGATCCATATCATCTTGATAGTCGTAATAAAATAATTGTCTCGATAAACCTAATAGTAAGAAACACAAAAGTTTATAAAAGAACGCGTAATAAATAACCATTGATACTTTCGAGTGAAATTTATCAAAATATAGCGTCACGTTTCCACGCTCGAGCTGAAATCAATTGGACTGGAGTTTGAGCTCAGAGTTTTTTGGAAGGATGCCGAACGCAGCTAATTACTAAAACCGCCAAAGTAGTTCATTAATAAATGGTTTCATTAAACGAGCTTCCTGAAACGTCGTAAGCATTTAAATGCGATGACTCACGCATCAAGACAAGCGTCTTTCATTCAGTACGATTCAGACACAACGTAGACTTGGTTGAGAGTATCAGCACACACACACACATACACACAGTAGAGTTGTATGATCTCTTTGATGCAATTCCCGTTGATACGCAACAGGTTTATGGAGAAATATCTTGTCAGAGGTGACGAGATCGTCCAACCGACGCGTGTGTAAACGTATAATCGCGTATAAACTGAAAATGGATTCGCAAGAAACAGCAAGCAACGCGGCCGAATCTCCCTCGGACCGCGAACTAAGTGCGGTAAGCTAATGTTTTACAGAAAAAAAAAAAAAAAAAAAAAAAAAAACGTTCACGTACACTATTTCATTAACATACAACTCTTCGTAAAAATGCTAATCTCGAAGAAATTTTCCAAAACACGTTTTTCGCGATTAAAATGTCGATTACAGGGCAGGAACTTTTTCTTTTGATAGGTTTCGAAAAGTTTCATTTATTACAATAGTGTTTTAATTATCGACGAGAGTTCGAATCGTACAACGATCATTTAATTTATTGCACTTATTAACATGGTGTGTATTTGAAAACATTTTGAAATAGTCTTTAAGTATTATAAAGTATTATTTTGAAATAATAGTGTGCATTTGAAAACATTTTGAAATAGTCTTTAAGTATTATAAAGTAAGTTGACCTACGGTCGAAAAGTAATTGTAAAGAATGTAGAACTAAAAATAACACTCGAACTGTGACGAAATGTAATTTCGCTGACGTTTGGACGCTAAATTTCAATGTTCGATATTTAAATGTAATTTACAAAAGGAATTATGATTTCGTAATTTAGAAATTTTAAAGCTTAAAGGCTCTGCTGCCAAGATAATTCTACGCATTATAGGTATTCAATCACGTTATAGGAATAAAAGATAATTCTACGCATTATAGGTATTCAATGACGTTATAGGAATAAAAAACGAAAATGAAATTGTTTTACTTTGCACCATGTTGAAAGTTTTGTGCTTACAAACACGCCCGACGTGTACGAACAATTTTCGTCGATGAATGTAGAAACGATGGTAAACAGTCTGGCGTTCTGAAGGAAAGCTACTGCCGTAAGTCACGCCAATCTAAAGTGTCTCGGTAGATCGCGATGGATGTCGATGGTATGCTATAATCATTCGTGGTTTGATCCCATAACTGGCTAGGGAAAGTCGAACGGTGGCAGGTACGGTAAATACGAATCTTCGAAACGTCTCCATTTTGTATTATAAGCTGATCGATGGGCTCAGGGCCAATATCGATTATCCAGATTCATATCCTTCCCGAATTATTGATTATTCATCGAAGTCTGGTGCAAGTATTCTTATACTGAATTACTAGGAACTAAAAAAAAAAAAAAATTGAAAATAAAACACGCAGGAAATGCTTTTAAGAATCACTCGTTGAATGTCACTATAAAGATAGGGATTAGTAATCAGATACATTCAACCCTTTTACTGTCAGAGTCGATTGACATTCCATGGATTTTACGAAGAACGTTCGAACAAACAAACCCGAAATATGGCGAAATTGTCGCGTGTATCGATCGCTGACAATAAAGGGGTCAAAATATCTAGATATCTCTCACTATCTCAATATCTGTCCATAGAAAAATCTTCTACTATCGTCGACTATCGCCCCCGAAATTCATTCACCGCGACCCAGGTGCCAAGCGGTGGACTGTCGCGAGTAAAATTATTATTTCGTAGGTGAAATCAAATCCGCCATTGCCATCTGTCTATCGGGCGAGACCGCAAGGTCCACCTGGATTGCCAAGGCACCCTGTAAATAATGGTCCCGTAGCGCAACCGCGACCGAGTGGACAGCAACACCAGCAAATTCGTTTCGATACCCGGCAAGCGAGTCCTGTTCAATTCGGCCAGGTCAGACCGTACGGGCCGCCGAGACCGCCGGCCGGTTCGTTCCCTCAGAAATCGCCGCAGCAGCAAGGCCAACATCCGCCCATCGTTCTGAATCCACGATTTCCATCGCCGTCCGTGCAACGTTCGCAACTGGGACCAAGACCGCCTCATCCTGGGCCTTATCCAGCGCCAAAGTTTCAAGGCAACGTGCAACGACCTCAACACCCAAGGCCGGAATATCCGAACGGACCTTATCAACCGCGGCCGGACCACCCGAACGTCCCTCAACAGGGACGAAATCCGGACGTTCTCGTGCAGAAACGTTTGCAGCGAGATGAGTCGCTGTTGAGTATACCTCAGCAGAGCTTGCCGATCAAGAGGGAAGACAAGCCACTGTCAGCACCGCGGATAGTAGTCGAGAAAATGGCGGACGTCGACAGCTCGAGGAAGCCGCGACAGTTGGAGAGTCCAGCCTCGAAGGAGAGAACGGAGCAGCGAGAGAACGCGGAGAACGACGACGACGACGACGACGTAGTGATGGACGGGAAGTCGCCGCGCGCCAATGGGAACGTAGGCAAGGGGGACTTGATAGAAGAGTCCAAGCTGTCGGAGAGCGACGTCCAGTCGGCGAGAAGGCCGGAGAATGCGGCGACACATGGGAAAATTGGCACGATCGCGGAGAAGATCGGGCAGAAAATTAGCAGCGAGGAGAAGCCTGTCAAAGATTCCAACGTGAAGGAGCGTGATAACAGATTGTCCGCGAAGTCGAACGAAGAAGAGCGCGACAAGTTGTTGGACAAGCGGGAGGTGGATAAGATCGGCGATCAGCTGGACGAGCCAGAAAGAAAGTTGGTCGAGGACCAAGCTCAGAAGGAGAACGCGAATAAAGAAAAGGTGACGAAACCGACAACGCACACTGAAACGAATCCCTCGTCTGTTGTGGAAGATATAGTCGCGAAATTGAACAACAGTAACGCCGAACAATCGACCAAAAAATCAGAAGAAACGAAGTCGGGACGAAGTGAGGAAGAGCCTGGTGTGGCTTTGATCGCGAAATCGAACGAAGGCGATCGAAAGGTGCAAGCGCCAGCTAAATCCCCAGACAGATCTCCTAGAACGGACCTGAAATCATCCACGTTACCGGATAAATCTCGCGCGGAAGCGGAATTCGGGCAGGAAGGAGTGTCCAAATCCCCGGAACAGCTTCGAGGAAGTAGCCCAGCAAATACGGGGAAGGAACAGAGCGATCGAGAACTCAAGACACCGTGCTCCGTGTCTCAAAGCAACTCGCCCGCAAGTACACCGGTGAAAGTGAATCAGACTCGAGAGAAGCACGACTTGGTGTCTGCGCCAGAAACTAAGCTAGACGTAGATTTGTTAAAGGAAACGAGAGAAGCCAAAAACGCTTTGCAAGAACCAAAGGAGTCGAATACACCGATGGAAATGGATCAGAAGAAGAGCGAGCAAGAGCCCGCTGAACCGTTGAAACTTGAAAAATCAAGCGAGAAAGAAAGGTCGTCGGATCTTAGTCATTCTCCGAGGGAGAAAGAATTGAACGATCCGTCTTCGAAGCCTCCGAATAAATCGGCGAGCGTAACTGAGAAATCAAGCGCGGAGAGCGTCTTGGAAAATTTTAAATCTGACGATCCGCGAGATACTTTAGAAACGTGCGTGGCAAGCGTTGCTTCGAGTCCGCCCGCTTCTCAGAGAGAAGAAGCGAGCGAGACACAGAAATCTTCTCCGAACGCTGCCGATGACAGTGTGAAGGGTTTCGACAACGGTGAACAACGATCGCTGTCGATCAAATCTTCGTCGCCCCGAGATCCTCGCTCGCCCGTTTCTCCGAAATCGCCCGTCGAGGACGAGAAATTAGAAGAGAACGAGAGAAAGGCTGACGATAAAACGACATCGGACTCGAAAAGCTTGCCGAAACCGGCGAAATCGCCTAAAGTTCAACGCGCACCGACGCCCGCCAAACGGAATGAAAAATCAGAAAAGAAGTCTCCGAAGACACCAGGTTTTTATTCACGTCTAAAAAAAAAAAAAAAAAGCAATTCGGGAGAAAGTTTAATGGTACCGTACGATATCGAAACGATAGATAGATTTGAAAAAAAAGCGAAGCGCCAGAGCTTGATCTTTTTCTTTTCGTGGCGTTAAAAAAAAAAAAAAGAAAAAAATACCGAGATATATTTCTTTACTGAGATTTTGCTTGACGAATATCACAGTTTGCTGTATTTACATGTTTTGGCGTATAGCACAAGAATCATGTCACTGTTTCTTTCGTTTCTGTTTTTGTTTGCAGAGGTTGAAAATGGCAGCGTAACGAACGAATCGGTTCAATCCAACGCGGTAAATATCCTTGCTTACACATGCTTCCGTACAACCTTACGTATTATCGAGCCGATATAATGACGTAACGTGACGATTTTTCACAGGAACCAACCACGAACGGAGTCGGAGATTCACCAACGAAAAAGTCGCCATCGAAATCGAAGGAAGCTGACAAAAGGTCGACAGCCGGGTCACCAATAAAATCGCCAAGTAAGTCCGTCAAATCGTTACCACGAACTCCAGAAACTCCTTCGTCGACAGCCGGTCAAGAGAAGAAAAGTGAGTATCATCGAAATTTTTGCCTAGATTTTAATAAACAGACTCGATTAGCTCTCAATAGTCCAATATTTTCATTTCAAATTTCCGCGGGACGAATCGCGCCCAGTGTTGCACAACGTGTACGTTAATAAACGTGTGTCAAATTACGTAGAACTGCCAATGAACAAAATTCAAGTTGGAGCGGCGCCCTCACCGAACCTGAAAACAGTGCGATCGAAGATCGGCTCGCTGGAGAACGCAAGTTACAAGCCAGGTGGCGGAAAGGTGAAAATAGAGAACAGGAAGCTCGACTTTAGCAAGGCTCAGCCGAAGATCGCCGCGAAAAATGAGAAATACACGCCCAGTGGTGGCGACAAAAAGGTTGAAATTTTCTTTAAAAAATTATTACGAGTAATAATTAGGCATAAAGATAGTTTACATGCTACGTCTTGTGATAAATCGTTTGCCTGTTTCTTGACAGATTGCTCAAATGAAACTTCAATGGAATGCGAAACCAAAAGTCGGATCATTGGAGAATGCGACGTACAAGCCTGGCGGCGGTGACAAGAAGATAGAGACAGTGAAGCTTGACTTCAAGGATAAAGCGAAACCAAAAGTCGGCTCCAAGGATAATGCTAAACACATTCCTGGCGGTGGCGGCGTTAAAGTAAGGATTGAACTTTGAATTATACGTTTCCTTAGGAATGCCGGATACTCTTAGAAGCATAAATATTACAAGTCCACTGAACCTTTCATTTTCGTTTGAAACATAGCTTATTGTTAGTGATATTTGTCATTCGATTAATGATAGTTTCGTGTCTTGTTAGTAATTCCTTCAACAGCTAAACAGTTTCTTTTACACCGATTGTTCCCTAACTTTTGTATTTATTAAGATGTTTGTCCTTCCCTCGTCGTCGCAACTAAATATCAACAGAGAAACTATTACAGAAGCAGAATGTAGTTACAAATTTAATGTGCTTTTTCAAATTTTCCGGCCACTCGTTATCACATACATTTGCTTGACATTACCCGTTTGTAATGTTTGTTATTATCATGGTATTGAATCATTTTTCTAATTAATCGCTTCTTTTCTTCACTCCAATATTTACTTGTCTGTAATAAAATAGTGTCTTGTGTTAGGTTAGTCTTCATTTCGATCTCGATCTTTCGTCACGAGAGAGCGACTGGCTGACACATCAACTGAGAAACTACTTATTTCGATTTTTGTTAAGCTCTTGCATGTAGAATGTTAATGTAGACGTGCATTTTTATCGTGCATTTTACATTGTTTCGAACATTAGTGTTTTCGACGTATTTTTGCAGAAAACAAGATTTATTTTTTTACAAGACACAAGCGTAAACAAATTGTTCCCTTCTCCCGAAAAGAAAGAATAAGAGCTAGCTTTTTCTAATCGACAAAACCATTCATTATTCGACTAGTCGATAATCTTGGGAGAAAATCTTGAGTATAGAAATAAAATATCATTTTCGTATGTACATCGGATTCTCTTGGATTCCCTGATCAGCAAAAAAGACCACCCTCTGCTATAGCATACGACTACCCTTTTTGTTGTCGCATGTATTGTCACCCATCATTATTAACAAGTCATTATTGTTTGTTGATATTCAGTCATCGGCAACGCCACCTAAGACGCCTCAGGATCCGAGCAATGACGTAAGTATATCAACTAGTTTCACGACACGATATCTTAGTTAGCCTCTCCAGAGATAACTGTCCACCGCTTCGGTATCAAAACTGTGAAAGGGAGTAACTAATTGATTCAGCTAATGACTACCAATTGATCGTATTTAACAAATATCTGTGGCTTTTGTGCGTGTTTTGTTAACGAAAAGAAAAAAAAGAAAAAATGCAAAGCGAGTCTATCGAACTTGTACTTTCTCTTTTCGCTAGTAAGTAAATTCAGTTTGAAAGGACCAAAGCATGTTTCTGCATGTTTTACGATTAGTGTAAACTGTACGTTTGCAGAGGTCAAATCGTTAGTTTAGAGAGCACGATGCGAAAGGATTCGAACGAGAATGGAATCTTGAATTCAAGATGAATTTATGAACATTGAGTCCACGAGTCTTTCGAAACGTTGCTACCACAAATCTTTTATGCATCTAATTAATTATGTTGTCAACTTATGTTGCTAAAGTTCTAGTTACGGTGTCTACACTTGTAAAATCGTCTGTTGGCAGTTTCTCACCATAAGAATTCGATAATAACAAACCAACGTTTCGTGTTACTTTCCAGATCCAAACGCAGAAGATTGATATCAAAGCTGAAAGTAAAATTGGTTCTTTGGATAATGTGAAGCATAAGCCGGGCGGCGGTGACAAGAAAATTTTCAACGATAAAGACTACCTTCGACAAACCGGAACCAATCCTGAAAGCCTTTGTGGCAGCGGATCACAGGTATGTTTCATCTCACAAAATCTCGAGAATAAAAATAACCATTTCATTTCGGATGAAACATGACGTAATCTTGATTCAAGGATTAAAGTCGTCGAGGGGGGTTAACAGTTTGAAAAAATTTCCTCGATTTTACAACATTTTGGAACTTTAAATCTTCTTTCTCGAGATTTCTTTGTCGTATCACATGTGTCTGCACCGTTTTCTCACGAGAAAATGCTTCAAAATCACGCGTTGCATGCTCCTCCTGCAATTTTTATGATTTCCCATTTTATGACAAAGAATTATAAGCCAAAAAACTTTTACGTTCCTAATATTTTTTCAATGACGACAATACACACGATTAAATAGCGATTGTTTCTGTGGAATAATTTCCTGTTCTATGGCGAAATGATTTCAAGGCAACACGTTTCCTTCGTCTGTGAACTATGATCTGTTAATTGTATAGATAAATTATATAAAATAATTAAACTGATTAAAGAAGGTTTAAATATTTCAAACTTAGGACTAATACAACCATATTCAATGGTCGTTTAATCCTTTGAAGCACACTTTCAATTGTTCTCGTGCACCTCTGTTCTCTTTTCTGTCGCCTGTTTCAGATAAAGATATTTGATAAAGTTACACATTGACATAAATATCCGTGTAATGTAATATTAAATTATGCTGGCCGACATTTTATGCCACGTAAATACGTGCAATGTACGACTGTAATGGCTAGTGAATACATAACAGAATTAATACTGAAAAAGAAAAAAATCACTGCTTCAAAGGTTTAACGTGACCCGATACTAGAATGAGCTAGCAAGGTTGTAACCGCGGAGGTTATTGGGCCACCTTAATCCTGTGTGTTGTGCCCGCAGAGCCCTGTGCCCCCTGGCACGGTCGCCGCCGGCAAGAACGGTCTACCCACATCGGACGAGAACCTGAACCAGGAATGCTAGATCACGAGAACTCGATCGCTAGGCCCGATTTCCTTGTCACTTGCGTCTGATTAATCACCCGTAATCTTTTTTCCTTCCCGATCATCGAGTCGAAGGGCCGGATATTGACCCGTGTTGTTGAACGGAGTCGAAACACTGCGAGTGTCACAGTTGCGAGGTCGTTCTGTTTCATCGTGACGCTCTCCCAGCGTATCGCTACATGACTTGAATGTGATCGATTAATGGAAAATACAGACAGATCGGTTCGGCATGACATCACGATCGTCTTGTGTCACACGACGACTGACAGATTTTTTACGTGCCATACAGGGGACGACGTTTTCTTTTCTTTCTTTTTTTTTTTTTTTTCGCGCAGAGTTTCGCCCTTTAATCGATGAGAACAAGCGCGAAAAGCAAAGGGGTGTTATTCGCTGCCACGTGCCCCTTTATGCGATCGATAACATACACGACGCGTGTATATACATGCGTGTATTTAGCGTGTAACACTACGATCGCCGGCAGAATGATTTCCTCCATCCTGTTGACGCATTTATTCGAGAAACCACTTGGGACAGACCGCGACTCGTCTTTTCAGATTGGAAAAAAAGAAAAAAAAAAGAAAAAGAATGTGCGTTTTCAAGACTTTTCATACGATCGAACCGCAGACAACGTCAATCGCTTGTAATAATTTTAATACACGTCATAGCTATTAATAATTGTCCGACACATCGAAACAGTGATTCCTCGAATTTTTACAAATGTACAAATGTCTCGGTTTCATTCGTGAACCTGGATATTAGATAAGAGGGCGCAAAAGACACTATGCTTCCTTTAATTGTGATTTGCAACAATATCTACCACGATAAGAGCGCAAAATATTACACTACGCAGTTCTTTGCTATGTCTTATATATCGTGATGAAAGCCACTTTGAGACTCGAATGTTTTCCAAGGACAATTTTTTCCGATCTGAAAAAGGAAATGCGGCGACGTGATACGCTTAAGTTTTAATTAAATAAATGAATTCTCATTTTTTACAATCACTTAGAACACGGTCTCACGCTAGCACGACAATTGAAACAATTGTACGAATTGCATAATATCAAACTCATCGTTCAAAATCGATTAAATCTTGTAACTCACGAGGCCGAGAGTAGGTGTATTTTTGTTAAACCTACGAGAATTATGATAACGTGATTTTGTTCAGCTATAGTGTAAATAGCTAACTGTTGTACTAAACAAGGCTTTGGATGTTCTATGATAACTAAGCGCAAAAACTATAACGTTGATTAATAAATAATTCTGACCCGTAATATTAATACTAGCTCGTAGAGCTACTTACGCGATTAATTAAATTCGACTCTAGCTTTTTTATGGTGCGTTCGTAAATATAAATATAACGTAATCACTCGATTAACGTTAGTATCGATGATTATAAATAAATGCGGCATACAATATATCTGATTTCGAAGGGTCAAACTAAAGGAAATCGTAGTGGAAAATAAAAGCGACAGAGAAGTGAGAGTAAAGTAGATAATTGCAGGCAGTGACAATTTACTGAAATTGTTTAATTAACTATAGAAAGAATATGATCGTCTAAAGTTTAAATTCAGCTTCTTATTACAAATTGTGAAAATTAAGATTAACCTCAGTTTACGTAAAAAAGGACACAAAATTGATGATAGTAAGAGAAAAGAACAACATTGCGAATAAAAAAAAATGATGAAACTTACAAGTAAACGAAAACAGTGTAATTGCATTGTGTCACATAGCAAATACATTTAAACAGTGTAATGTAATCGTATTTAATATTAAAGGTTTACCTAAACTCGCCTACTCCCGGATTTAAAAAAAAAGATAGATATTACATGCTTTATATACAATATATATATATAGTATATACATAAAATAATTGAAATATGACAAAATAAAAGAAATACGGTGATGCACAGATTATTATTTTTATTCTTGCCTACTTGAAGGAGCACCGATTCGTTTGAAATAGTATTAATTGTGCGTTATCATACAATCACATTAAAAAAAAGGATATTAATGATTAAAACACTTAGTTATCTTTGTGCATCACTATTTACTGAAAACATGCACGGAGTGTATATTTATTGAATAATTATAATAATTTGGAATGTAGTTATATCTTATATCTAACAATATATACATTCGACATCAAATTTTTTAAATATATTCTTTACATATCTGACAATACATTAAAGTTATAAAAATGAAATTCTTGTATACACTCCGTACATGACACATATTTATACAACGTGTACGAAGGATGTTACAAATTATTTCTTTTAAAACTATCAAGAATGGCAAGAAAAGATCTTTCTCTGTTGTTTGGGATTATTTAATTTTATATTTAACTTGTTTAAGAAAGGATTTCTGATTTTCTTTTTAACATAGCTTTCGCATTCTCGAATATATTTTATTGTCTTAGAATACTATTTTATGTATTATTATAATTTAACTCTTGTATGAGAATTTTTAAAAATTATATGTAAATATAACTCTGTAAAAGATACATGTAGAATGAATTTTCTTGTTAATCTTAATAATTTTAGGAAAATTATTTCGTAATATTCTCTGTAACACTCTTCGTATAATATATTTGAATAATTTCTAGCATTTTTCATCAAACATCGCTTCAATTAAATCAATTTGTTTTAACTCTTGAAACATCGAAAGGTATCAGTTTTACCATAACATTCATCGCTAATATGTTAAGAACGTTTAAACTTGTATCAATCTTTCCATTAATTTTTCTCTCTCTTCGTCGATACACATACACTGACATTCATTGCTTACAGCACGCTATAAATATTGAATAATTTTACACAGCATACGTATTCCACTTTCTTCGTTTTTTACCCCTTGATGTTCAAGAGTTAAATCAAGTATAGTCTTACCGAATTAGCGGAGATTCAACCGCTAAAAAGAAAATTATTTTACAACATTCATGTGTAACATCACGTGTAACATAAATCGTATGCTCGACTCTAATGAACGACGAAATTGTGCTTGAATCCATGAGTAATTTTTTTCGCAATAATAATAAATTTAAACGATGACTATTAAAGACAGAGCTTAAAGATATGAATTACTAATGGATGACGTTTACGACATCGAGCGTCGATTTATTGGAAAAGTACCGGATTTTGGACCGACCGGTTCAGATAGAAGAATCCCAGAGAATTAAAACATCAAACAAAAGAGATACAGACGGCAGAACCTGCGTCTGCGACGCGCAACCATATTCAATTCATCGAGTGAGAAAAAACTATTTCACATGGTTGCACCGAATACGTTTCATATTGTATTTAAATGATAGAATACGATAAATTCGTAATCGTTACTGTAGATACATAAACTATCTCTATTTGTTGTATACATCAGAATAAATATTTAGATCCTATAGCTGGTCTACAGTCAGTTGAGAAATGAAAAACAATAACGCAATAACGTCAATGAAAAAAGGCGAAACAACTGAAATATTGCGAAGTGTTTCAAGGAGATTTCTGTCTCTTTCTCTCTCTCTCTCTCTCTCTCTTCCTCATAGTCACAACACTTTTGAAAAACTCATACAATCTATGCTAAAAAACAAGTATATAAGTATTATTTACAGTTTATCGCTTCCATAATGATTACTATATTTCAATTTCATTAATTACCCGATAACATAATATTAAGTTGCCGCATTGTTACAAATAATCACGTCGTACAAATGTTATTGTATAACGAACATTTGGCATGTTGTTAGACGTAACAAGAGAGCCACTACAATAATATTTTTGTTTCTAAATTTATATTCTCAGTATTTTTTATTGAACTCCATCACAAAAAAATATGAAAACTGTAATTTGTTCGTTAGGTAAAACTAATTTTTTGTGCTTCATGAAGTTATAGTTTTACGATGTCATATGTAGATATACCTACATTCTAAGTAACCATAAATTAAGTAAATGTAATAACTTTTAAGGAAAACATATTTGTAGAATGCAATTTAAATTTTTGTTGTTACGAACTTAAAATATTATTTATTATTTACAAATATAATATCTTTATAAAAACAAGACAGCCATTTCACACATAATGCATACACATTTGATTTCAATTTTTTTATAGAATAAAGACAGAAAAGTGAAAAATCTACGGAACCTTCGTATAATTGTTACGCAAATATTTTTTTTCATTTTTAATGCACATCCATATTACCACACTCTTTCTATTTAATAAACAGTAGTAATTTTGTTGCACATACTACGTGCTTTAATTTATGAAAGCACAAAATTTTATCGGCATATACAAACGCTAATGCTAAAATATTCAGTAGAAAGGATTTCTTTTAACTTCAACTTCTCTAGTATTTAGATATTTAGTGAGTTTCTTCAATGAATTTTCTTATATGGATAATAATAAGCACCAAGCGTGTATCTCACCTTCACATGTAATACTCGGTGGACACAGAAGCATTGCTGCTAATCACCGCATTTATGAATTAAGGTCAGTCTGCACACGAATAACACTTAAGTAACATGAAATTTACTTCGACATTACTTTTTTTTAACACTGAACGTATCGAACATATCGTTTTATATATTATATATTACTTAGATATCTGTTTCTAGTCTACAAAAGTCTACAATAATCATATGCAATATGGCTTTACGTTGTATATTTTTAAGTAATACAGTAAATTACACATAAATCTGAATTTTTCAGGAGAATCTAGCCGAAGAGACCAATTCTTCTGGTGAACAGGCAAAAGATGATTTTCCACAACCGCCACCAAGTACTCCAACAAAAGCACGAAATCTACGGTCACCGTCTATGGTAACTCCTAAAGCAGTCCGAAGTAGTTTGGCAAAATCTCCTGAAACAGTAGGATTAAAAAGAAGTTCGCCACCTCTTCAAACTACAGAGACAGAAAATCGAAACAAGAAGAATCCAAGTTCAGAAAATGAAAATGTAATAAAAGGCAAAACAGCAAAATCCCCTATAAATTCTTCTAATACTGAATCAAAGAATCTGGGAAATAGAACAGCAAAATCGCCCGTTTCTCCGCCTGTTCCTAATAATGATCAACTAGAAAGCCCCGAAGATAAGACGACAAAATCACCGATTTCTTCTCGTCCCCCTAGTTCCCGATTGAAGAATCTAGAAGAAAAAGTGGCGAAATCACCTACTTCCTCACGTCCTCCTAGCAGTATTTCAAGATCTTCAGAAGAGAGAGCAATTAAATCTCCTAACTCACCACGTTCTCCTAACAGTCTTCGAATAAAAAGTCCAGACAAATCTTCCTCTCATATGTCTGGAAAATCGTCGCCAAAAGAATTACGGCTTCCAAAATTGGCACCTTCTCCCACCTCGCATGAAACTACTACACTTTCTGAAGTTAGTACTAAAATAAGTTTACCGAAATTAACTGAACGTGTTACACATTAAATCTCGCGTTTCGTGTATTTCAAAATAAATTTATTAATTATCAAAATTTTTTTTAGCAAAAATATTTTTTCAAACTGTGAATAATTACTTGCAATATAAATTGAAACTAGCAAAACAATCAACATTGAATTAGTAGACGTGTACTTTCTGGTTTAAGAATTAATTTTTTTATTATTTTGAAGTAAAACTCTTTTAACATAAAATATTTTATGAATAATAGAGAAGTAGCAATCAAATGAAAGAAGAGGCTTAAAGTATTTACAAGTTTACTTCTTTCCAATAAAAACAGTCCTATTTGAATCTCTGACCTTTTACTATAAAAGTAAAAAAAAGAAACATTTTGAAGGAAATTGAAAAATGTAATATTTAAAATCCTTAATATCAGTAAAATGAAATTTTACGAAAATAATATTACTTACATATTATCAACTATTATATAGTATAGGTGCTATAATAAAAAATAATAGTAATTAAAGGTATAACAATTTTTAAAGTAATACACACATGGTAAAATATGTAGTGACTTTTAATGTATATATCAAAATATATCTTCGTTATATAAATGCGTTCGGCATGCATAAGGTTTCAAAAATATATGACTTTAATAATTATATTATTGGCAGTTTCACACTGTAATAAAGAATTAGAAAGTATCTAGATCAAGTTTTCTTTGGCAACGGTGGTGGAACTAATGCAACTCCAGTAAAATAAGAATGGGTTAATGCTTTCTTGGCTGCTACCCTCTGATTAGGGTCGTAAGTCAAAAGTCTCTGTTAAAATACGTAATATTAAAATTAATATAAATTTTAAAAATTCAATATTTATTTTTTATCAAAGTGAGTTTCTTACCAAAAGCAAATCTTTGGCATCAGAATCAAAGGAAGGTACAACTTCATCTAAAGATCGGGGTTCCCATCTTGGAAACATTGATGTATAATCACGCAATTGTGATACTCCTGGCCAAATATTCTCATCGGGTGTGCCTAATGTACGAAATATCCTGAAAAGTTGATCTATTTCTGAATCACCTGGAAATAAAGCTCTCCTAGTCGCCTGCAAGAACGTAACTCTTTTAAAAAATTAAATTCATAATTAACCTTTGCAACGTCATACCGATGTCCGATTGAAATGATTAAATAAATAATTTATATTTTACTCGGAATTATTAAATTCATGTTGAATATATAACATTACCATTTCTGCAAATATACAACCTAGACTCCAAACGTCTACTGCATTGGAATACAATTTAGTTCCTAAAAGTATCTCTGGTGCTCTGTACCAAAGAGTTACTATTTCATGCGTATATGTTCGAACTGGAACACCAAATGTTCTGGCTAATCCAAAATCTGCTAATTTTATATGACCTTCCCGATCTATTAATAAATTCTGTGGTTTTAGATCTCTATGCAAGATGCAATGAAGATGGCAGAAGGAAATTGCTTTCAATAATTGATATAAATAACTCTGCAAACATAAGAGATCTGTTTTTGAAAAATGCATGCACCTATTTTGAACTATAAGTTTTTAAGGTAATACCTTGACAAGAGCTTGATCTAATCCTCCTTTGACAGAATCTAATAATTTTTTTAAATCTTGTTGTAAAAATTCAAAAACAAGGTAAAGATGGTTGTCACCATCTACCACATCAAATAACTGAACAATATTTGGATGTGTAAGTTCTCTTAATAATGATATTTCCCGAATAGCAGTGGATGGTACACCTTCACTTTCCCTGATATAAATTAACATTACTTTATTAGTCACATATTGACAATTAATGATAGATTATAACATTCAATTATCCTTCTCTTTCAAAGAACTATGACAAATATATTTATTTACAGATAAAGCAATAAAGATGTACAAATTAGTTTCAGTGTATCTAAATATTAAGTGCATCATATAAAGTATTCAATGAGTACAAAATTATAAATTTTTTATATAAATAAATGTTGTTAGAAAAAGAAAACACAAAAGAAAATTCCATTTAGATGTATAATAAATTAATCAAAAGATTTAAAATTAAAAAACCAGCTGAGCATAACACAATGGGACAAGCTGAATGATGTGGTGCTACGAAAATTTAGTGTAACGTGGCCCCTGCAGATTCAGCTGACCCCAATGTGTAAGTTAGCAGACATGTTAGCAATGCATATAAGCAAAAGCTGAACCAATATGATATTTTATTTTAATATCTCCAAAAGTTATATGTTTAAATAGGAATGATTACATAACAATAATTTCTCTAACCTTAGAAACGTGCAAATTACTTAAATATGTGTGCAGGGTAAACAAATTATTAGTTCTACAAAAATATACTTTTGTTCTGAAGAGACATATGATTTCAATTTAATAACAATTTTTGGGTTATACAATATTATCTATTACCTAAGTTAAGATAGCACATCATATAGATTTAAATTATTTAATACCTAGAACACTGAAAAAGTAAAACATAGTACTATTTTCTTATTATGAAATAAACAATTATATAATGTTAGTAATTAAAATAATTATTTCTTTTTACAAATATTAGAGACATATATATTTATTAGATATACATACAAGTAATGTACATATTCAGTCAAAAGTTAATTGAAAAATTACTTTGCTATATATATATTTATATACACACACAATTACCCATTAGGATTAGAATTAAGTATCTAATTATTCTACATGTATTAACAAAGAAAAAAGTAATCTCAATGGAAATCTGTCTAGATTAGAAACATACTCTCTGCAAAATGTTTAATAGGTTTTCAAATATTAAAATCATCTACTAAAATTCTAATAACTTCAAATTGTTATTAAAAGTATTATATGTTCAGTTTGCGGTTAATGTAGTAATGCTTGTAAACGATACATCACCCGGCAAAGATATACATTGAGTGAAGAATTTCAAATTTTTATTACAATCGACGTACGTTTCGAGACGAATTTTTTTAAGCGCCACCAGCTTTCCAGTTAACTTATCTTTGGCTTTATAAACCACCCCATAGGTCCCTTCTCCTATTTTTTCAATTTTGACGAAGTTGTCCATAACCTCAACGTCACTTTCGACGTTGTCACTCTTATTTTGACACTCCGTTGTAATTGCCGTTTCTTTATCACCGTTCCGATATATTTTGAAATTTTAAGCGTCGACAGACGATGTCGACGACTAACAAATAACTTTTTAACAGCCGTTTTATTAAAATTTTTTGTTTATCAACACTAATAACCCACTTGACACGCGTGCTTCAAAGTAGCCATTTCAAAGTAGAACAATCGATTCGAGAAATCGATAGAATTACATCATCGATCGCTTTATTAAAATTTAATTTAAAATTCTTAAAATAATGTCACTAATGTAACAGGTGAACGAATTTAATAATAAATATTTTGTTACTTGTTCCGCGTAATAATATAATTACGATTGAATATATATATATACTAATCATTTCACAAATAATGACTAAAATATCCATTCATAATTTTATTTGTAATTTTTATATATATTTATTTAAAGAAAGGATGCTACAAGATGGGACAGTAACAATAATATAATTACAATTATAACTATAGTATTATAAATAACAGTATCATAATTAATATAATAATATAACTAATCAGTATCGAAATTCGTAAAGAAATTTTTTAAATATTTCTACTAATTGTAAAATATTTCCAGCAAATATCATAACATCAAGTATATTTTGTTAACATAAATATCGTAATATATATAATTTTTAAAAATAATTTTTTATTAAATATTTAAACAACATATTTTTTGTTGCATTCATATGAAATTGGTGCAAATATTTATTTGGAAAGAAATGCATTTAACTAATATTCTTGTAGTTTTACATGTAACTGATGTACATAATATAATTAAGTTAATTACCTACTAAGATATCTAATAAAGTATGTGTGTTTGTATCTATCGATATTCTCATTACAAATTATCTCCGAATCACATTTCTCATAAATTGTCTTTTCACTTTTCAAAAAAAATTATATATATAAATTATATGACTACATTTATTATTTATTTTGAAACATATATATAGTTAATTATACTTTCTAATATGATATTCCATACTCAGAGAAATTATATATCGAATAATATGTAATTGAGTATACAATACAATGTATAGTAACTTTCATTAATATTCGGAAACTAAATATTCGAAATGTAACAATTTTGTGTAATTTAGTGTCCCAATATTAATGAGAGTTACTCTATATTCAATTATAATTAATTTATAATTAATTATGATAAAAAAAGGAATGTTAATTATTTTTATTAACCCTTCACTGTATCATTCTTTTAACTAAATTGCCCTTCAATTTCTACAATAGTCCGATATAATTTTAAAAAATTTATGGATTAAAAGGATCAATATACATTTTTATATTTAAAAATACATAATATATAAAAATACATAAAATAAAACAAAAAAACTTAATATCTCTAAAAGGTAACTTTACATATTGTTACTTTTTAATTAATTTTATTGCCGTTTTATTGTTTAAAATTAAAAAACAAAAAAAGAAAATATTATTCAACAAAATACTAAAACAAATATAATATGCAGAATCTAAATGCGTATTTTAATAAGACATTTTTATTATATAATGTAACATATAATCAATATTAGGATTGTTATTTAAATTTAAATCAATTATAAAATTAAATTCTAATGGATATTAATCATTTTAAAAAAGCTTCTAAATATAATTTATTAAAGTAGTAATTTATCTTGTGCGTAAACTAATCCAAAAGCTTCAATCGTAAAACTTTTTAAATGCATTGTACACAAGATTTAGGAATATAGTCTAATAAAATCTTATAATCAGAAAAGTAAATATTAAATTAGAGGAAGCATATTATAAATTTAAAATTGATAATGTAGTAATTATGATATTATTATTATACACACGGCAGTATTATGATAATATGTCAAGATCAAAGAATCCTATGTGTAATGTCTTATTTACCGCATCATATTTTACTGTGGGATTAATATGTTTGATTCATTAGCGAAATATTAACTATTAATATTTTATAATTCACAACGAAGTTGCATTTTTTTTTTTATTATGATATTTTGATAAAAGATAATTTGATCCAAATTTGTCTGATTAATTTCATATAGTGAAACTTATTTTGAAAAATTTATGAATTACTACATAATTTGCAAATGTATAGAAAAAATTTCTATTAAATTAAAAAATTTATATAAATATAACAAACGATATTTAATACTTTTCTAAAACCTATTTAAAACAACAAATTTTTTCAACAAGTTTCTTGATAGAAAATCAATTTTATAATTAGAATTAATGGATTTTATGAATTATGCTTCATAAATAAATAAAGTTATATAGAAACGCGCTTGCACAAATGTATCTATATGTTAAACTACAAGGCGCATTGAGGCTTAGTACGATTGTTCTAAATGAATGACTAGAGCACACATTTATCTATCTGTTCTAAAAATCTATGACTGTTCCAAATGTGCTGGTTTTTTTTCTGTTGAGCATTACAAACTCCAGTGAAAGACCAACAGTTCCACAACAATTATATCCAGATGTTGCATGCAAAATGATATTTGTACTATGAAGTAAAAATTAAGTCTAAACTATTAAACAATTGAATATTTCTAAATGTAAATCAAAGTTCTAAATGTAACCAAGGTTCTGATCCTGACAATTCAGCCACCTTATTACTTATTAGAATTCAGTTTCAACTAAAAACGTTTGTTTTAAAATATATGAAATATGTTAATAAAAGTATACTAAGGGAAAACAGCTTTTGAATTCAGTTGATTTCTGAAACGTTTAGCCAAGAAAGCTGCAATCACCTAGAAATTAAATGTATATAGTTTGCACCAAATTTCTTAAATTTAATAAAACTAATATGTACGTATATTAAATTACATAAATATGAAATGGTATTATGTTATGTACATAAAATGTAACTAATAAAAAAATATTCTTCTAAGAATCAATATATAAAATAGAAAATCACAACATGAAACCACCCACCATCTATTAGGAGGATCATATGAGGTGACAGAGGACATAGCGATGGTGTTAGACTAGAGGAAAGCACTAGGATTAGCTCGTGGATCTTTCTGATTCCTGTACCGCACGGTCAACCAAACACCAACAAACTGCAATGGGTTAACAGGTTAACATTTACTACAGTAAAGTGAAGTAAATCACTATTCTTTCTAACATAGTAAAACAATTTCACAAATGTAATGCTATTAAGTATTATATAAAGTTTCACACTGCATTTTTTAAATGTATATAGTATGCAAAATAATTCGTGAACTTTTACCTCGGTAAAACTGAAGAATAATCCTATGCTGCCACATAATTTAAAGGCATAATCAATTGTAGATTGTAATTTTTGCATGCAAGATGGACATTCGCAATCAGTTTCTGTAAAACTAAATGGGCAACAAATTTTCTGAAAAATTAAAACAATGTTATATGTTATTAATATAAATAAATATATTTGATATATATTAAATTATACTTACAGTTTTGCAAGAGTCAATTAATGGATCTGAATTATTTGTATATGTGCTTTCAGTGCCATTAAAGCCACAGCAATTGAAAGTTTCTTGAACCTTATCAATTAATTCATTTGCATGTTTCCAGCCCTAAATGTAATGAATTAAATATCTTTCCTATTATCGAACATGATAACACATACACAAAGTATTAATATTACCTGTTCTGCTAATTGTTCTTGCTGTTTGGTATTGACAGCAAGACAAGCACAGGCAATACTGAATTGGATCAGGAACAGTAAAAATAAGATAAGCATGTACTATAAAGATATTATTAAGGATTATAAGACTATATTATAAGGATTAAGAATATATTATATACAAAACATATTTTTGAAAATATATTATATGTATATAATAATATAAATAAAGTTAAAATTATCCATATATTGTATTTCTTTGAAAGGATACGAAGAATAATAGAACTTGATGATGTTTAACAGCACCAATCAGACCAAGTATAGAAATTAAAATCAAAATAACACCACATGCTAATATACCTCCAATTATAGGAAGATTTGTAACTAATGCAGAAGCTCTTCCATAAACAGCTACGCCGATTAGAATAAATGCAACAACCTAAAATTATTAAGATATAATTTTAAAAATTTATAAAGCTCAGAAATATATTAGAGAATATTCAAATATCGATTGTAATTTTATATTTCTTAATAGTTCCATATATGTATTTATTATGATTGTTATCACAATCTTTAGAGATGCATTTGTTGTAAAATAATTATTAAAATAATTAGGTGAACCAAAATGCATTTGTTTAAAAATTTTGTGGTGTATACAGACTTGTTTCCGGAAATTCTGCTTACAATATAAAGGATGTTTAATGCCGTCAATGCATTTTTAGAGCACGTAAAACCACCACACATCTTCGTATACAGCCTTTGTTCTCTTTAACGAGGATTCGTCGGCTTGCTGAAATCACTGTATTCGAAGAATTTGAATACCGAGTTGTTAATACCACGAATTAGTAACAGAAACGCATGTGAGTTATTACTGATGTAATGAACAAATACTCTGCGACCCCCTCACTGAAGACAGACAATTTACGACTGGTCGCGCTGCAACAGCTCGAATACATTGGAACGAATTAGTATTTCGCTTTGGGCGCGAAATTTCAAAAGCAGGTTCCTCACACGCGATAAACGTAATAAATTAATAAATAACTTATTTATTAATTTATATTAGTGTAATTTCTTTCTATCGTACTATTATTTATTCCGTCAGGTTTTCATAATTCCAAACTTCAAATAATATGTAATAATTTTAAAGTTTGAATAAAAATACATTGTTACATACTACATATACGAGGGATATATTTATATTTATTGAAAATAAATTTTAGTTGAAATAAATAGAAAATTTGATGAATTTTAAATTTAAGATGCTAAATAATTTATGTAAATGTGTTTCTGTTTATTAAATAATCACTGATTTGTACTTGTAAATGAAAGTACAAATTCGACGTAGAATGTTCTTCATAATAATTCTAAAGAATAGTTCGTTTCCATGACAAAAAAATATAGCCATCATAAATGTATCATGATAACGCGTGCAAAGATCAAATATTCTTTATACAGAGTTCAAATTACAACGTCAGAGATAACGTATATGTATGTATGTTTATTTAGTCATTATAAATATGATTTTTATAAAATATCGGAAAGATATTTGAATTACTACCGCTCGAAAATTTATATCGTAAATTTCAAACAAAAAATATCTGAACTTTTATTTATTTCAAAATAAATAAAGTAAAATAAAGAGCTTATAATTTTTATTCATGAATTTATAAGATATAACATGAATATATAAAATATGAATTTATAAGATAATAACAAGTTACATTTTTAATGAACTTGAGAAACTGCATATACAATATAATGAACTAATAAATGTAATAATAATTAAGACCATAACGACTGACAACAGAAAAATAACATTTCTTAAAAATATTTATTTCGTATTCGTTTTAAAATATTAGTTTGTTCCGATTACTTTTAGTATTACCTTTAGTAACATATTTTGTATATATTTCAGTTGTGTAAAATTTAATTTGTGTACTTTACTTTTGCTGATATACGGTATCTTGAGAAGAATTTCATCATGACAATTGTACTCTCGTAAAACTGTTCGACAAGATTTAGAACGATCTGTCAAAACAGTTAGAAATCATCTCTGCAAGTTTTAAAGTGGAAATACTTGGATTCTGTTATTTTCTGCATTGAAGCCTTCTTTTTCCAATGCAAATTTAATTTTTGATAGCGTACATTTGTTTTTCGTTTCTTTAATAGAAGATTCTTTCTAGACCTGTAGCTTTCAGATTTATTCTTCAATAAATATTTTTAGTAATTAGGCTATTCTAATAATACGTAATCCTAAATTCTATGTAATAAATATTATACACTCCACTAACTATTCAGCTTTGGTTATTATTGAATAGCACACATGTTGGAATATTTCGTAACCGCTGGATTCGTTATCAATTTTCTTTAAATCTCGGTGTCTCATGTTTACAATCTTAATGTCTCTATTTAACAATTGTAATACTATGTTACTATATTCTTGAATATTTTTGTTCCTTTATAATATCAAATAAATATTACATTATGTTTCTAGTTATATAGACTATTATTTTATATCTATAAATAGACTATTTATGTTTATAAATAAACGGCAACTTCTCATAGAAGTGGTATTATTAAAATTTCATAGTTTCAAAGTGCTGTGTACACGGTGTGTATTTTCATCAATGCAACGAGAGTCAGTAGAACGTCAGGACGGTCGATGCTTAAAGGAGAGCACTGTGTATTTTATTTCATTTCACTCTGGTATTTTTTAACGATGCCTTTATTTTGATACTGTTAATAAAAAAAAAAAAAGAAAAAAAATGTACAGCCACTTTATCCGCGTTTTGAAAGAAAGAGAAATCTTTAGAGGCGATAATGATCAATATATTTATATAAAAATTAATTTATTCGCGAATATATAGCAATTGATTTATGAAACTACATTAAAAGAAATTTAACAATTCACATTTATAATTAATATGTATTTAATACTTAAGTTTTTCGTTAAATTTTTTGAAATTTTCATTCTTAAATAAATCGTTCAATTAACAATATCCAACAATATTTAAATTCTGAGTAGCACATTGGATTGTATCTGGCGTTTAAAGAAGTAAATAACTGAAGGAATAGTCATAAATACTTCAAGCATATCCTCAAGCGTGTACCTTCTCAAATTCTCTCTTTCTCGCTTTTAAAGCGGAGCTTTCTTACTTTTTATTTCCGTGCTTGTGAAAACATCAATGGGTTTCACTAGTCGCAAAGTGGAGTGTGCACAAGATTCGATTGTGATAACAGGGAAACTGATAAACCGACATATAAAATGTAGTACATCATGATCAAGTTCCCATTCTGTCTATAATGCTTTAGAAAGAGGTACGAAGAACGCCAACGCAAAACCGTCGTTCTTTCTGGTGGCATCGTCGTGTTTCATCGCTATCTCTGTAAATATCGGATTTTTATTTCATTTTATTTATACTTAATAGAATTTAATGAATAATTTTTCATTTTATATATGTTAAATATTTCAGTCCGTAAAAGAAGAAATAAGAAGGATGAACAAATCGCGCATCAAGTGGTGGCCGCAATATTTAGCAGCGATTACAGGTAATTAAAAACCATTGTTAAAGAAAGAAATTAAATGTTTCATTTCAACATTCAATTCACAATAGTCGCATTTTGTTAGTTATACTGATTAAAAGGATTGTAATATTGATGTTACACTGATGACATTACGTTGTTCATTAACTGTAGTTAATGAGTTGCCGACATATATAAATTCATTATTAAGTATGTATTTTCAGAAAAATTTAATTAATTTAATTTCAAATTAAAACTAACGTGTTGTAATATTTGTATGTATCATTTTCATCGAAGAAATATTAACAAGGTAACACCTTCAAATTTCAGGATTATTTTAATAACTATCATTACTTTAATATATAAAATATTTAATTTTAATTTGATAAAAAAACAAGATCAAAATATAGATACCTTTATTTTTATTTGTTGTTTTCATTTCATTCATATTGCTTAATTCTACTTCAAAATGATCATCATTCAATTGACTGACACTTAATGATACTTAATCATCATTATTTAATGTCAAAATTACTAATTTAATGAGAAACAATTTAAAAAGTAACAATATCGATGCGAGATTAGTTGCGAGTCAAGTTATAAATTCGCTATTTATTTCATTTTGTGTTCTTATTTTTCCCTTAGCCACCCTATCTATGGCAACTTCCGGTTCTCACATAGGCTGGACATCACCGATACTACCAAAATTAAAGTCTCCGGACTCCCATATGCCAATAACATCGGACGATGCCTCGTGGATCGCTTCGTTCGTTCTCCTCGGCTCGATACCTGGCAATATCATCGCGGGCCTCATCGTAGATCGGCTGGGGCGTAAAACGTGCCTCCTATTAGCGGGGATACCACTGACTGTTAGTTGGATTTTGATCATCGCAGCCTGGAGTCCGTATGTTCTCTACATTTCAAGATTCATCAGCGGCATAGGGCTTGGCGTGGCTTACGTCATTTGTCCCATGTACATCGGTGAAATCGCCGATAAAGAGATCCGAGGATCCCTGGGCTCTTTCATCAAATTAATGGTAACATTCGGCGAATTGTACGCTCACGCAGTTGGCCCCTTCGTGTCGTACGAGTGTCTGGCATACAGCTGCGTTATAATCCCTGTAATCTTCTTCCTGACGTTCAGCTGGATGCCAGAATCTCCTTACTATTTGTTGATGAGAAATCACGAGGATAGAGCGATGAACAGCCTGAAGCGTCTGAAGAGATACGCAACGGAGGATCAGCTGGAGGAAGACATCGAACAAATACAAAAGACCGTGATCCGCGATCTCAGCGACAAGGGACACATTTGGGATCTGTTCGACACTCCAGGTAACAGAAGAGCTGTAGTAATCAGCTTCGGCCTTCAGCTAGTTCTGCAATTCAGTGGTTTAGGCGCTATAGAAGCGTATACTCAAGAAATTCTCGAGGAGGCTGATACAGGTTTATCCGCTGGAATAGCGGTGATCGTTCTAAGTGTTCTTCAGTTGGTAGCTGGTATCGGTGCGGCAGCTTTGGTTGACAAATTAGGAAGGAGGCCACTGCTTCTCGTCACTACTTTACTCGGTGGATTGTCCTTAACTATCGCTGGGGCGTTTTATCTGTTAAAACAGTACATGTCGATAGACATGACCGGTTTTGGTTGGGTTCTTCATGCCTCTGTCATATTTTACGAACTCATTATCGCATTAGGTTTAAATCCCTTGGCCTACATGATGCTTGGAGAACTTTTCCCGACTAACGTCAAGGGAGCTGCAGTATCTATAGCAAACATGTGGGCATCCTTGTTGGCGTTCATTGTTTCAAAAATGTATCAAGTCATTTCCGATTCTTGCGGTATTTATACCTCTTTCGGTTGGTTCGCTGTTAGCTGCTTCCTTGGAATCGTCTTTATATTCTTCATGGTCCCAGAAACCAAGGGGAAATCGTTGCTAGAGATACAAGAGGAACTGAACTGTAAAAAGAGAAAGCTGAAAAAAAATAGAAAAAGTGATCGGGGAATTCATATTAATACAATAGCTTAAACCAGTAAAGTAAACAATGAAACGATGGTTCCGATACTTGTCGATTATCAAGTAAGTCTGATACGATTAACAATATATTTATCATATTATAAAATCGAGATTGACGCCGCGAAAAGTCTGTGAAATTGGTATTGGTATTAAATTTTTAAAATATTCGGAAGGAATGATAAACCATCGTTTCAACGAAAATGCTGAAAATTTTTTAGATATCTTTCTTTCTTAAGCAAGTCTTCCACGTATTCTGCGAAATCTGCAAGACAAATGCTCGTGTTAAGTATATTCCTGGTGTTAGACTCGAATTGATTTTATTTTAAACTCGAGCAACGTCAAGGCCATTTGTCAAATTTCAATCGAATGGATAACTCTTACTGCTATTAATACAGGAACGTGAAATGTTCCAAAAAAAAAAAAGAAACATATTCTCTGCATTTTTAAAATAATAATTTAGGCTGTAAGATTTTTTCTTTTTTTTTAAGCGAGGGCCCTTATATTCCATGTGAATGAACTGTTTACTTCGGTCAGAGTAACAAGGTTGTCGAAGAACATTTCGATTAAGATTTCATCATTGATCGGCAAAGCACGTTGGTGAGTCCATTTAATAAATCGGATTACTATAATAGAAACACACACAGGTACCGCATATATCACTTGGCCAAATAGTTCTATCGTACGTCATCCTGAATAAAGGTAATGGAAACGAGGAAATATCAAGTCGAACTTACGTGAATATTTGTCAGCAATCGATTACAGTAGAACTCCGTTTATACGAATTTGATAATTTAAGTGAGAGATGTGATTTTGCATAATAGAAAGTAAGAGTTCATTTAATCGGGTTGTCAACAAAAATATTTGGTACAAATAAATATAAACGGAGTTCTATTGCATTTAAGTAGATTATTTGCGAGAAATATACGATGAGATCTAATGGTGACCGAAGTAATTCCCAAGGAGAACAAAATGCGAATTTTTGTTACACATGATTTCTGAAAATTAGTTCTGAAAAGATTTTCAGAAATTATGTCGTATTATGAGTGCATTATGGCCCCAATTGTGTAAAGAGCACACTCGCATGACCACCTTCTTTCCCTTTTAGGCAGGGTTAAACGTTGAGACTGATAGATATTAATTAATCGTGAAGCGCATATTTATTTATCGCCAAACCGAAATCACACTACGAGAAAATGCTCAGATTTATGCTGCGATTTATTGTAACGGGAGATTTAAAAAACGAACGAGATTATCAAATTTATATGAAAAATATTTAATCTATAGATTATCAGGATGCACAATACTCTCTATATATAGAAGCAATTAACTTTTTCAATTCAATCGATACGATCTTAGCACAGTTTAATTAAAATGCAGTCTACTTTAAATTGATTTTGCGTGTGAAAAATTTGCTCGAGGTATTATTAGACTAATCTATGGATTAAATATGAAAATTCTGAAATGTTCCTTGTGATTAGTTTGGCGATTAGGACCATCTTATTTCCCTTTCAGGCAGGGTGCAAGAAAAATTATGCAACTAAATGTCATCGAAAGCGCGTCGCGAATATTATCGCGAGTATTATGAATTCCGCGCACCAATGGCCCTGATGCAAGATGGATTTAGGTGAGCACCGTAGCATGACTAACTTTATTTATCCCTTTCAGGCAGGGTGAAACATATTACTATAAGAATAGCTTCGGCGCAGAATATAATCGGCCCGATTACAATTAAATATCTCTTATTATTAACATCGTTAATGAGAGGCAACAACATATTTTATATATTACATTGCATATGTGAAACATGTGATTTTATTGTCGAATAACTTTACGATCGAATCGATGTTAGCACACGCGTTATATTATACGTAGACGATTCATCTATCCACTTGTAAATAATATATGCAATGAATAATGAATGTACTTATTGTAAAGTTTTATTCTTATTCTAAGATGTTCACGCAATTGCACGACTCTCTACAAGTCCCTTTAAGGCAGGGTGTAAGACTCAAAATGTATTTCGTATAGATTTCTGCAATGTAGAAGTTTGCAATTTACGTTGACAATAAACGTTGTTAATTGAATTAAAAAGTAATTGATAATTTTTTTTTTATTTACCACTTCATCCCTTTCCATCGTTCAGAGTTGAAATGTAAATACGAATATAGATATGTTATAGGCACGAAATCTAGCAGGTATGGAAATATAAGTTGAAATAGGAAACAACGAAACGTAACGCAAACGTGGACAACTAGTATGTATATTTTTCGCATCATAATAACCATTATACATAAATGTTATTACAATATAGAAACATAAACCTTAATATTTCATTCATTAACATCTTACAACATTGTCAGTATGATACATATCTCATTATCGAGATTATTATTATTATGAATTCCTAAGATAAATCCCTCTGCTTATGCCTGTTGTATTAAATACAATCGTAGATCATGCTGTGTTATTACATACGTGATACGATTCGTATTCGTATTAAATCATACACAATTCGTTTCTTTGTTGTTAAGATCTCGAAACCTACGTTTCGGCCAATATTTTATTGGAAAATGTATAATATGCTATACTAGCATATACGGTAATTAGACTTTTATATTTTCAACATTCTAACTTTGCGTAGAATAATCGCAAGGTTATTACAATCTGTGATACTTGACGCTGGCTACTTAAAATGTTTCAAATAAATATATAATACATATAATATATAATATATAATATATATTATATAATATATATATATATATATATATATATATATATATTTCATCTTTTTATAGCGGAAAATAGAATACAAAAGAATAGAAACAAAAAATTTCCAACCATCGAAATATCATACAAAATGGGATAACATAAAAAATTCATAATAAATGAACAACTTCTTTTTTTTTACGTTACTTTTGATCATTTTTCTAGCTCTAAAGGAAGACACAAGCGGGAGGAATAAAGCATGAAAAATTAATCATCTTGCAATTTAGACGTACTAGAAATAACTCTCGCATAACACTCGCCACAGTAGTTCCCTTTTCTTTTTTCCTTATCTTCGTAATACGACATATGTGTGTATGTCGAGCATTCTGAGCGATAAATCGGCATATTTTCTTATTTATTACACAAAAAGTATGCATGCGATGCAACACATACAGGCACGCGTACACGCACACATACACACACACCACATTTTGATTATTGAAGGAAAAACTGATGCTTTATGCAAATTTTATTTCGATACAATAACGACTTTGGCACACACGTTGTCTCCAACATAGACTGCTCGCTTGAAAGTTCATTGCGATCATCTTACATATTGTTATAATGGTATTTGGCTTTGCACTTGTGAACATTTTGGCGACGTAGGAACAGGGTTATTCTGGACATATAAAACTAAACATTTTTTCCTTAGCAATTATTGTTTCTTTCATTATTGTATATTATGTTATATTATTTTATCCTACGTATGCGTTATCGATTATTATTATCATAATTACAAAAGCAATCAGATGGCATTTGTAAAACTTCGCGAGCGTAATCTCGTGTAATGTAATTAAATTTCGTTGGCAAAGAAAGATACCAATTATGCATTTTCAATATGCCTCTTCGAGATGTAGTACTGGATAGTGATTAGAACGGGCGAGAATCTCTGTCCAAGATTAATTAAAAAAAAGAAAAACGATGTACGTCTCATCTAATTAATGGTACTGAAATCTGCAACATTAATTTACCATTTTAAGAAACTTGATCCAGATTTACGCGAAGGTTCAACATTCTTTTCATTGCCGACTTTTATTCGTTCTTCTACTTTAACATACGAACAGTAATGAATTTAATAATAAAAGTAAAGTTTAAGGTACAGAATAATCGTTACTTACAAATTTCAACCGATCGAGATGGTAATTTATTCATGTGAATGTGCACGCTATTAACGACTAACAATCCTACGTCACCGTGTCGACTACGTTATTAATCTGACCGCGTTGAGAATATACAGAGTGTTATAAAAAGCTCAAGTGCTTATTGTACTCACCGAGAGGAATGAAAAAAGGTCTCGACGTTAGAGTAACGAAATCAGTTTTTAATTTTCTGCGAAATTACAACGATAAATAAAAAATGCATACCTGTCAGATAATGTAGAGAAAGCGAAGAATCTGGAAGTGTGATTGATTGTTCTCATTGTATCATTCAGCACTTTTTTAATACTTTTTTAATTTCAGAAAGTCGTCAAAGTTTCAGATGTTTATTTATTTATTTTTTTTTTTTTATAACACTCTGTATATACGTGTTTATATTGTACATCAAGCAACGACATCGCTCTTCTCAATTGCTCAGATTCACACTCGTTGGAAGATGAAATTAACGGCAGAAACTGTCCACGTTAGGCCAAATTATTTAATCCACATCTCTGCATTTCCTCTGAGTTGAAACTGTTGAGAATACGTTAAGAGGATTTTTTTTATACTCGAATCATTCCCACGTACACACACATACGCGCGCGCACATAATGTTATTACAGATATTACAAATATTCAATCATAATCATAAATGAAAGGTTTAACATGCGAAATTATATTATAATGAATGATCTCTATAAATTAACAAAGCGAGTAATATTATTTTCATCGAAACTTTCGTTTTATCATAGAAATTTATGTCGATTTCTATTAATTTACGAAAGAAGTGAAAATCGTTTCGTATACGTCTGTGTATAATGTACAGTACCCCTGGCATAAGTGATCACGTGAAAGTTTTTCTTCCTGTCGTCACGTAAGTATTATGTTCGATTTGAGTAACGATTCGCTATATGTGAAACAATAGAGAGGAAAGAATGAGCGAGTAAGAAAGAGGGAGGAAAGTAAATTCCAACATCTACCAGTCAGAATAAAATTTCTTACTTGGCAAGCTTTAAATTCCTAAACAGTTGGACAGTAGATCAGGTCAGCGGATGTAGGTATTTATTGCACGAAAGGAATAATTTCAGAATTCCTCGAGTGGCGAGTAGGGCAGGTGCCGGTCATCACGAAGCCCACTGGGAATACTCGGACTAGCGTCACACGTACAGTCATATATGTACGACATAACACGTTCAATTTGTCAATATAACTAGCGTAGGTGCGCATATGAAATTGTGTCACCGTATAAAACTGTTACAGGAAAGCTTACAACAAAGAAAGATCGTTATAACGATCAGCGTTGTTATTTGCTCGAATGGAATTCATAGTACCACGTAGATTATCTCGGTTGATTGATCGCGATCAAAATATTCTCTCTGCGATCACTCTTCCAAGAAGTACTGTATTTATTCTCTCGTTCTTACTTGATATTAAATTGCGTTCCATTTCGGAAATCAGCAACTAAAATTTTATTGAGCGACACTTGTAACACCGAAAACGTCCGGATCGATTTCAAGTAGAAAAACGGATCTTGCCTCTTTCTTTTCTTTTTTTTTTTTAGAAAATACGCGCGACAAATATCTATGGCAATGACCTACTAAACATATTGACCGCGAAATTGTCTTGACAATGCCGGCCAAGAAGTATGAACGATCTACGATTACAGTTGTAACTCTATAGCATAACTCTATAGCGCATAAGTACCGATAATTATACTCTCGCTGTTCGTAACAACATTTTATTTATCATCTAATAAAGTGCAACGGGTAATCGAGAGTTGAACTCGCCGCGATTGAATTAGTCGAAGTTTCGTACAAAGAAGAGCAGTTAAAAATGCCTTCTTACGAAATCAATGATCTCTTGCCTCTTTCAAGATATATCACCTAATCCTACGTAGATATTGGGGGAAAAAGATCGACGAGCAGGGTCGATGATGGATTGTGCGACGCAAATACATTTTCGAAAGCTTTTCGATATTACACCTCGGGAATCGGCCATTGTTTTCTATACAACGTTCCTTCAAAGAGTGCTTTAATTTGTAAATTTAATTTATTTAACTTATCTATTGAACAATTTCAATAAAAGGCGCTGAGATTCATATTCAGAGAGTCTCTTTCACGAGAATAAAGATAATGTCGAATGACTCGAACGTTTAGGTGTATCCGAAAGTCGACTATTACATCTAATTGAAAACAAATTATTTGGAACAAAATAAAGTCCATAATTTTTTAGCAATTTAACACTGCAACGTCGAGGGGAAAAAAAAATGTACTTACACGTCCGAGATTTATACCATCAACAATATTCCCTGAATATGATCTTTAATTTCGAATCTCGCGATACAAGCTTGCCTGTCTGACCTCTCCGTCTCCTGAGAAGAGCAACATTTCTTGAGGACGGCTGCCTTTAGAATAATAAGAGAAATAGTATATTAGCAAAATTGATAATTCGGCGTAAAAGACAAGAATTGACGAGATAGAAATTGGTCGAGTGTCGATGGATAAAACGATTCATTTATCGAATTATTATGCTTAGTTATCATTTCAATAGTGCGCGGCTGCTAAATATTTTATGCTAAACTAAATATTCATATAACGTATGTAATTAATCTCTAGTAACGCGTATTATTCGACATTACAAAGTACGTGTGAATTATAATCTAATAAATATTATTCTTTACAATTCGTTCATATTTCGACATGATTATTTTAATGTCTTTTTTTTTTTTTTTTACTCTTTGTGCAACAAATTTTATATATATATGTGTATCATTCTTCATTGATATCGTTTTCAATTTTCGATCAGTAGCGATTGTGTACACGTAGAATCCAAATTAATGACGTATCGCGTCAAAAAATCAATTTTCATTTCGACTTGTTCGAATTGAGCGGAACTACATGCACGCGTGTTACGTTTCGCACACGTTGAAATTCACGAAAGATCGATTTTCATCGATCGGAAGAAATACTCCCGCTTTACGTTGATTAATAATTAATTCCTCTCGCACGACATCGTTTCGATCCATCGTTTCGACGTTTATCAATTAATCGTTACTTAGAAAGTTTGTTTGTTCTCTTTTTTCCTCTTTTCTTTTTTCCTATGGTTTACGATTTCTTATCATTGGCGAAAAATTCAGAGTTACATTTAATTAAAGTGTTACGTGTTAAATTATTATTTCTATTAAAGGCGAGGTCTCAAAAAACTACAGCTTACATTGTAGCCAAACGATGAAACACTAACGCTTGCCAAGGATCAAATTCATCCCTCGATCGCGACTAAATCTGAAACAGCGCTAATTGTAAGAAATTCTGGTATGGATAAGATTCATTTTCATCGAATAACACAGTTATTCGACAAAGTTATTCCCTTCATTGGTACGCAGCCAACGTTGATATGCATCTTATGGACAAAGTGGTTCATTAAACTGATTTTCAAACAAAATTCAAACAATTTTACACATACACTGATAGATTTTATCATCCCAGGCATTATACTTGTATTCTTTCGTTCAACTTCGATTACGTTTAATCGTTATACAATATTGCGATCCAACGGTCAAGAAAATTGTTACGATTATTTCGTACAGTTATTTACAGAAAATTGATTCTGTATTAAAATATATGTATAAATTCATAGGAGAAAAATAATAAAAATTTCTTCGACCTTTTTGTAAGAAAAATTCTTATCGATCTAGGATCAATAGATTTCGAATACGAAAATTTTTTTAAAATCGTGACAATATTCTTGCTAATATAAAGTCCAACATTTGCTTCACTTTCCTCCTTTGAAATATTAGGATAATATAATTCCGTAATGCACGCCCATTTCTCGCAACATCCGTCAGTTTGTATCGTACAAACAATTGACAACAACGATTACTCTGGTTATCCTCCTAACAATCAATGTTTCGTAATAAATATTTGATTCGAAAGATCTGTCATGAGTATTTTCCTTGGGAAAAAGGAATCGAGCAATTTCTCTTCGTAACAGCTATTTGTCACGTTAATTTCCCCTAATGTGGAAGACTTTTATAATGAAAATACGTAATCTACGTGAACCTAACTATCTACACAATCGAAATGTCAATAATTTAAAAAAAAAAGAAAAAAAGAAATAGATAAATCTATAATTTTATCCTTTATTCGTTAAATATTTCGCGTGGATTATCGTAACACTTGCTGAAGCTAGAAAATCACAATTGAAACTGACTTTAATCAAGTATCGTGCAATTCTCTGACGATCGAGTAAAGAAGTACAATTGTTAATTTGCAGAAACCAAGCACTTGCAATATTTAAATTTAATGTGCAGTGTCGTGAGTCGTGAAACTTGATAAGTTACCCCTGCCACGAATATTTAAACATCATTGTTTCGAAAATAATAATTTATATTATTTCATTGAAACTTGAATCATAGTCTTTTGCCCGCCCGTCAGAGAATTAAGAAACTAAAATAACATTATTCATTTTTCATATCATCCTGTTCACTAACGCAATATCTGAGATAAAGATAAATATAAGGAAATATCTACAACAGGCTGTCATTCGCACGCATCTACAACAACGACAAAGTTACAGAAATACTGATATCTTTTGATTTCTTTTTCCAACAAGGATTTAAATCGAAGTCCACGAACATCTTTTAAACATTTTTCTCTTCGTTGTCGATATACGGTATAGGATCGATCTTCGAAATCTATTCCGCGAAACGTGTCGGATTACATTTTTTTTATTCGGAATAAAATTTTTTTTCATTTTTTTTTTTTTTTTCGTGTATTGAACAAACGTACGGCACAGTTTCATACATTCTCAACAAAGCTCACATAGTCATCCATTTGCCGCGCCAACAACAATAAACGGGCTAACAAGAGCGACGTACTTTATTATAATAGTCGCAAGTAACTTTTTGAGGACTTTTATCATTTTGTTTGATCTATTCTTTTTTTTTTTTCTTCCCCCATTCCTCGACGCAATTATATACCCCGACTCCTCCCGAGAATGCCCTTCGAATTATACTTAATAATTCAATGAATAAGAGAGGTTGGACGTACCTTTGAAACAACGAGGTTAAATTTTATAGGCGTCGACCCAATCTTGTCACGGACTTAGTTCGAAGTTCGCACTCTATCGGCCGAGTCGACAAATTAGCCTTATACCTTATACGTTGGCATTGACAAATTAAATTCAGCCATTTCAGCCCGCCACACGTCTCAGATGAAATAAAATAGTAATAAAACTTGTTCTGCTTTTTGAAGAAAAGAAAAAAAAAAAAGAAAAAGAAAAAGAAACGATCTCTGATCCTGGCGTTTGAAAGTTTTCAGTTTCCCGTTGCGAAAACTTCCCCGCTTTTTCCTCTTCCGTCTTGCCAAACTTCTTCGAAAGGCGCATCAAAACAGGCCGCTCTTTTAGAACGTCTTCTTTAGAGAGGAATCGTCGTATTTTCGGTTACGAAAACTCGGTTGAGCGAATTCAACAATTCCTCGTTTTCCCTGCGCACTGAAACCAATTAGAAACGTACATCGTCAATTAATTTGAAATTTGTTATTACGCACATCTATTCTTATGTATGTTACTGGAGAATCGATATTGTTGTAAATTGATTAGATTAGATGTTGCATCGGAAGAAAATCTGAATAAATTAATTACCAATCTTTAACTCTTTGAGGGCGCTAGAGTACTGTGTATATATGTAATTCGATAATAAAAAAAAATTTATTTATCAGACTTATACCGAATAAATATAATCAAAAGATATGTGTTTAAGGATGAATGCACTTTTAATTCGTTGCATGCCCATCGTATCAAACTTCCAAGCACTCAAATGCGTTGATCTCGAACATGCAGCTTCGAAATGGTAGAGATACTACAGCATTGACAAAAGTAGAGTTCATTCCGAACAACCATAAAGACGGGGAAATATAATATTTGAAAGTGTGATAGTTTACGTCTGAGCTCGATGCTCAGCAAGTTCCTTGGAGCCGATAGCCGGACTCAAGAATGTGCTGTGAGTTAGCGTAACCACCACCACGAGAATCGAAGCTGCCAAAAGGAAAAGAAACGTCCCCAGGACGATCATAGCGATCCTTCGATGACGTCTTGCCTGCTCCAAAGTTCGAGCATCTTCCAGAACTTTCAGTGGATCCTTCGCTTCCGCTTTCAATGGCCTGACAGAGTCCTTTCTACGAGCTGTGCTCCCTCTTCGTGTTTTCGTCCTTCTACTCGAGCTACCTCTCCTACCATTGCCTGAAGATTTTTCCTTGTGTCATTATGTTTTTCCCTTTCGCGTGTCTTACGTTTTCCCGACGTTTGCTGTTTGTTTCGTCTCGATGTTTAAAACGTTCCGCGAAGTGTCACGCAACTGGTAATTACAACCGAAAAGGAGATTGTTCAACACGAGAAGGAATAAGTTAAAAGGAAAGAATACAATCAGATGAATTAATACATTGTATCATCGTATTTAAAGATATTTTTATATAAAACAAAATATCTATTTCTGTGAAATTTTTGTAGAATTTTTGTTTTCGAAAAAATCGAATTTGAAAGTTTGTCGTGTATATGAATTTAGCTAATTTTGGACTGGATAGAAGTGAACGATCAACAGAATGGTACTTTACCTACAGAAATACGTAGAAAACGTGGAGTACAGTTTTTTTCTCTCTCAGAAGATGCTTTGTTTGCAGAAAAGTGAAAAATTTGTAAATCGAAAGCACGTGTTAGCTAATTTTTAACCAGAAACGTTCGAAATCTACCTCCTTCGAATAATAAAATTTTATTCTACATTTTTTTAGTTGGCAATTTTTCAAAATCGATCTCCTCGAGGAATCTGAAATCGCAACATATTTTTATAGAACCACCTTCTGGCCGGTTATACCACCACTTGTGTGACATCGTATATCAGGTGTAAGCGATACCCGACTCGACTTTTATAAGCGGGAACATTTGCAAAACGAATCGATTCGCACGACAGTGTTCGGCGAATCGATTCAAAGTTTGCCGAAGTTCTTTCATTGCGAGACGCAGAAACAGACTTGCGAAACATCCGATTTCGATTGAACAAACAACCAAGGAAGTGAAATCGGCGAGCCCCGAAATCGCTGTGTTACGTCACCAGACGCGAAACGGTAACGAACTACGTGCGTTTCTCATCGATCGAAAAGTCTGATGACCCAATTGTCTCCTACCTAACGACGTTGGCCTGCTGCAGCTGTTTGTCCTCGAGCGGCTAGATTGCACGCTGGAACGACGACTGGAACGTTGATCCAGTTCCGAATTGTTTCTGGCCTGTTTCGAGTTACTGGTTTTTGTGCGGGTAGGAGCATTCGGCCGCGGCTCGTCGTCAGGGCTCGACAAATAAAAGGCTAAATGCTCGTCCAACTGGAAGCCGGTTGCATCGGGGCTACGTGGGTGAAAAGACCTACGATCGTCCGAAGGGCACAACGTGTAGCAACTGTCCATTCGCTGGCAGTAATCTAGAGACGGCTCGCGAACCGACGACGTATCGTCCGCGCGAGTGATCGCTCGATCGAAATTGTAACTGGACGATCGACGATTTCGTTCGTTCTCTTGCGTAGATGCCATCGACTGAGCCGACATGTCACAATCTGTTGATGCCAATTTCATTCGATTTTATTCGAGGGCATTCAGTTTGCAACTGAACCGAACGATCATCCCTTCGCTCAATTGGCAAATTCACTGAAAATATACGAAGCGCGGGTATTGATTTGAAATTGATAAAATATAGACGTACGCAGACAGTACGAGAAGATTGTTTGAGAAAATTGAAAGCTGGAAGGCGTGGGTGTTAGCGTTAGTCGATGCGTAGCGAATGGGAGAGAAGAATAAAGTTACGCGAATTTTATTAGCTCTCGTTTCACGGCTTTACTACTCGACTGTTACTACTCCTCCGTGCATTGCTATTTCGCACTGAATGAACTTTGATAAGGATATTCGTTTAATGTTTCAATGAAAAGTAAGATATTAAAAGCCACAGAAATGGTTTTTAATGTTACAATTGGGATGCGGATTTATTGAAAAACTAGAAGTGGAAGTGAATACACAATGAAAACCTACGTAAAAAAGTAAATAAAACAAATTTCTATTTAGGTTCAAATGCATTCTAGTTATAATAATTGAATGATATAATAAGGTAATTGCTCCATTTTAATTAGTTCATATTTCTAACGATTTTCCAGAAATTTTGTTACTTTCTTTTAATGAAAATGCGGATATTTAAATGTTTGACGTCAGTATGGCTATTAGTATAGAATCATTGAGGGAGAAGCGTGGAAATGGTACGTTTCAACAATAAAATTCAAACTTGTGTGATTTCACGGAACAAAAATTCCGCTAGAGGCTTTCTATTTAAACATTATCGGTCCTGGATAACGCTAACGTTAATTAACGTAACCTTGTTTTATATTCGATAAAATTCAATCCTTCATGCTTAAAATATATAAAACGTTTCATACTTTGGTCCATTTCGAATACTACGAAAAATTACAAACCCCGAGTCCTAGATTTAATTAATTTTAATTTTTCGATTGATAATGTATGTCGTATAATGCGTTCTACGGTTGTAATAATTTAGAACAAGGAAATGTAATAATTTAAAAGATGTTGCAAGACGACACGTGGCACTCTATTGCAAAGTCATGTCACGAAGATACGTTTCAAAAGATACTGTATGAATCTTCGTAGTGAAACTTGCATATTTTTGGAACGATGCGGCACGTTCAAAATAAACTTTATACATTTTCAGTGAACATTTGTGGGACTTGTAAACATTCCAGTGGGACAAACGAGGCGAAGTCTGACCTGGAGCGTCTGAAACTACTTTCCCGACTATTCATTCTAAATGAGCTTCATCAGAGTCATCCATTGGGATGCTTTAGAATTATTTCTTCGAAAGTTTCTATGCTACAAAACAGTTGCTCGTCTTCTTGCTGGAGTAATATACTACTCCAATCAGAAAATAATCTCTGCTGCATAAATAATCTCTGAACAACAATAAAAAAAATATCTGGTATGAACTACTCAGAAAAGTGTAAATTTTATACGGACCATTTCAGTTACAATTTGGATTAGACCAAAATTAATTGCAGTTGAAAATTTGTAGTATCGTGTATTTTACGCGCATATTCTATCCATCCAAGTCTTGAACTTAGGCAGGCAATTCGAGTTACAGGTTATTAATTACTCACGATCAACTGACGCACTGCAGAGTCCAGATACGCTATGTCAACAAACTATGTACTTGGGAAGTTATCCATTTACTTGCATAGTCAAGCTTCGTGTATTACGGTGAACTTAATCGGTACTTGTAATGTGTAAGTAACCAATCGATGCTTTTTATTTTTTAAATATATTTCCCTAATCAAGCAAAAATCTCACGTCTCTGATGTATCATACCCGTTAAATATCGTCAAATTTTCGTTTCAAACTTTCATCAACTGTTGGCCACTGGTTATTTCTGAGCAATATACGATACACGTTTTAAAATGTAATCTCAAATCGGCTTCTTTCGAGGAACGTACGGAGAAACGTACGAAGAAATTCCTCCCCCCGGGTTGTGTGCACTCACTTGATTCAACGAGGGATTCACCTTTTGCGAAGATTTCTGCGACTCGTGGCGCAAGATTTAGCCTCGCCGTGAAACGAAAGTTTCTTTTAAACGGCAACTCGAAAGAAGAAGAATGAAAGTATAACTAAGGACAGCTAAATACGTCGTATCTATATAGTGGACGTCACCCTTGAGTTTATTGCGACGTGTATTTTTAGCGGCGGATCTAGCAGGCCACCTATCCGCTTTCCATGTCTCTTTCCTCCCCTCAACCCTTGTTGCATACGCTTGCGTCTATGTGCTTGTACCCGTTAACTTGCTCATATGTATATAGGCAGCACGGACATGTCGATAAACATACTCGGCCAAATATTTAGAAAATCCACGCCTACCGCCAGTGTTTGAATTATTCGAATCATCGCGCGATGATTCGAAGAAATCTCGAAAGGTATCGCAACATCTCTGTTTCTCTGCAACGGCGACGCAACGAAATTTATCCGCGTATAAAATATTTTTAAAAAGCCGCTGCTCTTGCATCTACCTCGCCTTATATTTTCCTTGAATTGAACGCGATTCAGTTTAAATTTTTATAAAATCATTAACAAGCAACGCGTGAATAATTGGTGTCTGTATTGAATCTTCTTATTTAAGAGCGTTAAAACGTTGTGGAAAAAAATATAGATTCACGGGACGTAGCTCGTGAAATAGAATTTTTCCCTCGTAGATTCTTTCGGATTATTTATTTATTTTCGGATTATGGAATTATATTTCGAACGATAGCTCGATGAAAGAAAATATACCAGAGAGAATCCTTTTTTTTTTTCTTATCGCAAGATATTTTCTTTGAAAGACTTGTGTTTACGTAATTTTCATAATTTTGTACATTAGAAAAGAACGAAACTTTGATGACGTTTAAAAAAATATACGTATTTATTGATCGTCGACTTTCGTGCCAAACTATTTTACGCGAATATAAGAAAATGTTAAATCGTATTGAACAAAGAACTTTAAAAGATGAAAAGTTAACGCGCTATTTTTAAGAATATGCCGTTCCATAATTAACCCGCTTATTGAACACCGATATACAATTTCTATCTATTATAAATATAAATTAACCCGTTAAGAGCCAACGATGCGTCGACGCAACGTTTCATTTTTTTTTTTTTTTCTTTCACTTTTTTAATCAATTTACATTCTCAGAGTCTGTCTTCTCGACACACCGTGGCCACGAAAGAAAATCTCAAGGACTCTTTTCTCATTTCTTCTTCTTTCTTTCGTCGCTATTTCTCCCTGCCAGATTCTACGATTTTGTGAAATTTAATGGTGAACTTCTTAATGAATAATTAAGGAACACGTGTCACTTTTGTTAGAACAAATTGAACATTTGATTAACGATATCGATCCAACAATGGTGATTGTTCATTACAGAATTAAATTTCCTCGGCGTAGGTTATCTAGCCTACTACATTAGTCGCACGTTTCACTTGGGAAATTGACGGCCAGGAGAGGAAACCGGCTTTAATTGATTCATTCCCTCGGTTTTGAACTTTCTGACGTGCCAACCTATTCTCCTCCTCCCCCCCCCCCAAACTCCCCCGTCGTTCGCCAATGTTTCGAAACTTGAAAACTTTGACGAAAAAGAATAGTAATCAGGTAATTTCCTGATAATAATTACGTCTGAGAGTTAAACGAAACGAGACCAGTCATTAAATATTTTTCCTTTGGTCGCCATCGTGATGCGATTCTAATCTCGACATTTGACAAAGTTATTTTTTTTAAAGTGTACAAGAACCAATTTATTTCGAAAATCCCGGTAATTCCACTTTACATCGGCCAGCTGTCGTGTGGAAGTGCATCAGGTGACTCGAATGACATTTATTACATTACGGAACGAGACGTAGACGTACGCCAGGATGATTTCTGTCCCCCGTCAGCAGGAAGAATCCGAAATTCTTTTCCAGTTAGCATATTGCTCTGTGATTCCTCTTATTGCAGAGCGTCAGATATTGATAATCAATAGTACTCGTGTACTCGTTACCAATATTAGCAGCTCTCGCTGTTGTAAGGACATTCGCATAATAATGTCAACAGTGTTCGAGAAACGGGGACAAACCAAGCGACAGGCGTAACAGGTGATATAACCGCATGAAATACAACCGGAAATGCACCGATTATACCCATGGTCGTTAATATCAAGGGGCGCCCCTGTGGTTCCTTCTAGAACCAAATGAAATGGTCGAGATTCTTCGAATGAAAATCCTTTCGGATGAAATCCGCCTGAAAGGCGCAAGAAACGGTCTTCAAGGAACGGCTTATAACAATTTGGAATAATTTTCGTACGTGGAACGATAAACATATGGGGGAAAAGAAAAGAAAATTTCATCTTGTAACAGCTAACAACTCTGGTATCATTCTTTCTCTCCGAGTCGGTTGGTATATAAGTAAACCCTTAAGAACTTCCGTCGGCGATGGTTAATCCCGACTAGCCTGTCTTTTACGCTCCTTTTGCTTCACCCGCCGTCTCGAGCAGATCAGGCAAGATTATGCATTTAGAGTAATTGAGCTAAGATCCTCCGCGCGATTTAAACGTACACGTGTATCATTTGTCGAAGATAGAACGCGTGTGGAAATGTATTACGTGTATCATTTGTCGAAGATAGAACGCGTGTGGAAATGTATTACGTGTGATGGGAGAAAGAATACTTCCGACGTGGAGGAATGCGTCATACGTGTTCCGAAAGGAAAATAAAGAACAAACGAGTGGAGATGAAATTGCAATTTTACGAAATTTTCTACGACAGTGACGAGACACGACGAAACAGTCTCTGACAGGCGCACATTGAGAAATGTTTAATCGCCCATGGAGGAAGAAAGGAAGTGACAAAGAGACATAAAAACGTCAGCTGTCGAGTCGAGACTATTCTTAAAATTTCGCCCGCGGGCATCGTCGAAGCTTTCGTCGAAGCAGTAAATTCGCGGCGCACGATACACATTTCTGGACGATGTGCGTCAACGCGGGTGATGCTGATGTTGGAACATTTGAGAAATCGAGGAAGAGGCCACCTCCGTGATCAAACAGAGGCCTTTGCCACGAATGCCTCGGCAATGGTGATCCCAGTTATATGTATATACACTTTTAATGACGCACGTCAAAATCGAACGATGGAGAAATCAGAGTGCTGCTGCTGAAGGCTTGACCTGATTCCGAGAGGAGTGCACAACGGTGTAAACGCATCGCGGAAAAAGTGTCGAACCGTGTACGAGACTATCGTTACGCGAATGATCCCGCAGGTGCGAAACGGCACTTCTCGATTGATCTGGAAGTAAGCAAACTTCGCTTCGTAGCTGTTATCGTTTCGAAACCTTTTCTCGGATTCTTCTGTTTCCGTGAAATTTGGCAACAGTGTCTTTTTTCTTCTTCTGCGCGAAGTACTCGCAAATAAAGAAAACGTCCAAACTCGACGAGTATTACGCGTTTAAAATTTTGCTTTTCGAAAGATATCGCGCAAACAGTTTAGTTTGCGTTATATCGAACAATGTGTAGCAACGTTATTGCACTTGAACGACTAAACGGTCTTCTCTCTCCGATAAATAACGATATGTATGTAATAAGCATTCTGTAGATTTTCCTTTGCGCTAGTTCTTCCAACTTTTTTCACTCAGCTTTAACAGATTTTTGATCATTATATTTATGGAAGTAAATGGACACTTCGTCTGTGTGGAGAGCAAGGAAAACAAATAAATGAACAAACACGTGAAGTTGAAATAAAATCTAAATTGTTTCTTCGTTCCTTGTTCTAAATGGTTACTTCAACGATCGTCTATAAATGACTGCTACCGAATGACGAACACCTACGTTATAAATGGAAATTATACGCAACGACGAACGAAATAACTCTTTTTCAATTATCTTCGAGATTAGAAGCAAGATGTAAAAGGAACGTTGTAATATTTTTAAAAGTTGTTGATTTCGTCTCGAGCATATCCTCTCGAGACATCGAAGCGAAGCGAACCACAATGACCACAGAAATTTACGTGGCAGCTTCCATGGCTCCTCGATCTCGATCGTTGATTACCTCTCGACGTTATTAATCCCCTATCGTTCGACAGCCGACGAATGTCTTTAATTAAACATCACTCGAACGCGTCACGGATTGGGCAAGCTGCCTATAATAAGTGACTCATCCGTGACATTTCCAATGGATCCGAAGTGCCACTGCAAATGTAAAACCTTCGATAAGCTACACGTGACCATAGGAAACTTTCGTCGATCGAAAATAGAACATCGGCATAAGCGAAGCTTGTTTGTCCGAAGGAAGGCACTCGCATCACTCGGAAGGAAACACTAGTTAACCGGTGCTCCGACGATTCGACGCTGCGTTGTCTCGCACCGGTCTCGAAAACTTTTCGTCGATTTTAGCTGGAAATGTATGTATGTACGTCGAATCGTTAAATAATGTTCGCGAAAATGAAATGTTCGAGGTGGTTCCGCCACGGAAAACCGACGACTGACTGGAGAATTCACAGACGTGCGCCTTTAATTTAGAGGCGCGGAGCGCCCTCGAGTTTTCACGCTGCACACGCTCGTTTCTGTACGTACGCCGTGTACATGTAAAATTTCCCGCGCGTGTGCGCGCGTATTTTTCTGGCCACACGGAAAGAAATCCGCGGCGCACAAGTGCTTTCTCCTTTCTTTTTTTTTTTTTTTTTTCGCGCTGGATACTGTTCCAGAAGTACTATCGACTGCCACACAATTCCGCTAGTTAATTGGCCAAAGGTTGCGGCAAACCGTTCTCGCGAGACAGACCAGCCTGTTTCTGGCACCTACCGTCGCGCTGATTTAAAACCAGTAGACCTGCGTACGTACGTACGTCCTTTTCGCCACCGTGCAATATTTTCGAACGAAAAGAAACAGGATCAATGGTCAGAGATCTTGTTGCGAGTAAAAACTATTCCATTTCGACGAAAGAGTCTCTTACTCGGATTACTTTTTATAATTACTGAAATAATAACTTTGAGATGAAAGAAGAAACATGACTCATCGATATGCACTCGCTTCCTTTCGGCCTATATCCCAACAATATCAACTTCTTCGTTCGGACAAGTAATTTGCGAGATTTTCTCCGCAGCGTCGAATATAATCAGACAGCAAATAAATGGGATTCTGCTCGTTCCTTGGGAAGATAAGGAAGGGCATTGATACCGTGAAACATTAACGCGCTATGATTGCAACTGGAGGTTACCTCTCTTGAGATTGCTTGCATATTTTATCGTTAATTCAAAGAACCTTCTCTGGAGTCGTGCCCTAAATATCCTAGATTCTCTTAACTTTCTGAAGATGTTACGACATTAGACATCGGAATGCGTGTCGCGTTCTGTAAAATACTGTCAAATATTATGTGTCTGAAATAATTGTTTTTGTTTTCGGGATAATATTTTCACGAAATAAATAACAATAGTATTATCGACCAGACTGACGTGTGTATGCTCTAATTTTATACATACGCGTTTTGACGAAAATTTCTGATGTAAAGTAATTGCACAACAATTATCAAAGCGAATTAAGATTACAAGTTTTTAATCAACAGTCAATCAATATCGATTCTCAGATTTACAATGATCTTGTGTTAATTGTAATAATAAGGGAAATGATGGTGACGTGACTCTCCAGTTTTGAATTTCTCTTTAAATCCTAATTCGTAATTACTTAAAATCTAAAACTAAAATCTCTGAATTACATATTGAGAAGTAGAAGTAAAGTTTGATTCAACATTTTAGGTAATGTAAAAAGTGAATTTTTGATTCTTTGATATCATTTGAAATCGAAAGTGAGCCAATAAACTCAATTCTATTCTTTGTGTTACACACATCTGCTGTTTTTCACAAGATGTCTACTCATTATGTGTCTATTATTTAATATCGTAGAATGAGAGTTTTGGAACTCACAGTGCACGTTTATTTCTGAGTCAGAAACTCTTACTTACTTAGGCTGTATTACCCTCCATTATGGGAGGCCGCATAGCTTTGAAAACTTTAAGTTTGTATTTAAAAATATTAAAGTATAAACGATCTTGCCTATAAATACCGATTCTTTTATCAGTTATATTCCACAGTCCAGGACACACCTGGATATTTCATGTTTTTCATAAACAATGATGTGTGGAGATTTTGTGTAATAGATCTATAAAAAATCTATACACAATAAATTCTTTTATTCTTTTACATAGTCTTTTTTAGCAGAAATTTTTCATAATTTTCTCAGAAATGAAACGTTAGCCTTCCTTAATAGCGATTTTCTAATTAATCTTAAGTATAAGTAACAAGGATAAGTAATTCTCTAACTTTCTTAATTCGCAAAAAACGTTTCTTTTCAAACAGAACCATTTTCTTTTCGGCGGGTTAAATTATTTATTATTAGCAACAACTTTGTGACATTTAATGAAAATAATTTCCTCTGTGTCAGCAGATATTAAAAAGAGAATGTGACACTATTTTCCTAAAATATTTTTTTGTTACAAGTGTGAAAATAATGAAGGTATTTATCCGTCAATGTCACTCCGTCACGTTCTTTTTTTCTTTCTTTTTTTTTTTGTAAAATAAAAATTCGTGTTCCTAACTCTAATATTGAAAGGTCACTCACCCATATCGTCGATAATCGGCGCCATTCTGAGCGTAACTCCGACTAAGAGCAAAGACATAGTAAGAAGGAGGCAGGCTGTCGCGACGATCGTCCAACGAGCGCGCGGTGGAAGTTCTTCGGGATCGACGAGCTCCTCTTGAGGACCGGTATTGTTAACTTTACGTCGCTTCCGTTTCCTCTTTCTGCGGGGACGATGATACTTCGCCCGAGGTGCCTCGATCTTCTCGGTACCGCTCAAGATCTCCTCTTCTTCCAACTCATCCGCCACGTTCAACGCCACGTAATCGTCGTCATCGTAGTGGATCTTTCTGCAAGAATAAAAACGAGAAACTCTGTCACTTTCGATACATTGAAACATAGTAAAACGATGAGTCGTCGTAAAGACATTACATTTTTTAACAAAAATGCTAGATATTTCAAAATTATACATTTAAATCAAACTTCTGTGTGCATTAAAGTTTATCTTTGTCTTTGAAATATTAAATTTTGACTATTAAAGAATTATTTCCTCGACAAGCTCATTCGCTTGAGTTGCAACAAAAGTATAATTCCACAGGATTGGAACCATGAAGTGTTTTGCACCTGAAAGTTGGCGAAAGATACTCGAACAAAATGATCAATACATTGTCTAATAAAGTTTTTATGTCTTAAGAAAAATTCGCTTTTCATTCGCGAAAAAAGAAAACATTTTGGCCAACCTAATGGAATGACGGCGCCGAGTCAGGTGTATATTTCTAACGATGCGTTACATGCAATTCCAGTATTGCATGCTCGTTTGCGTTGCAAATCATTAGAAATACAAACCTACCAAATTATAGACCGAGTTTCAACGATATCAGGTAGTTCTTTCAGATCTATAAAGACAGAAAGAGACGACATCTCTAAAATGTACAAAGTTTTCAAAACCGTGAAAGAGAATTTAACATCGAATAATTCCGCGGATAGTCATATTTCACCAAAACGTCATGGCAAGAAGGGAAATTTCACGACGTTGATGAAATTTTATTAACCACGGCATGTTACAACGTACGTAGCTTTGCAATCAATATCTTACGAAAACATGCAGGAAGCACGAGGCAAATTACAAAATTCTATTCTATATATTATAAACTTGCGATTGCAGTTGTTTACTGGTAAACGCGTGATAAAATATTCGTTGAGGCATCTTTGACGTAAATATTTATTTAAAATAAACTTTGTATCACAGTAGAACATCGCCTACATGAATTTGTCAGAGTATAAAGAGTTTGCACAATTGTAATTCATATAAATTGGAGTCCCATTGATTGTAAGTCTCTCTTGTACTAGTGATTTTTCGTTCGCATAGCAGGAGTTCAAATTTAAATAAATGGGTTCAACGAGCAGGAGTTCATCTATTGATTAAACTGACTAAAATCTGGTTCAAATAAATGGCTACTGTATTGCATGTGTCATAAATTAATTATTAATTATTGGAGTTATTCGACGTCTATATTCCAGAATTTTCGTTATATTCGCAATTAATATGAAAGAATATTTTAAGCTATAATTATATCAATAAAATTAAATGGCACTCTAAATAGGACTTCGATAAAATTAAATGGAAATAATGAGAGAGAAGCCACGCAATATTTTCGAGACACGCGTAATTTTATATTTTAATGAAAGTCTACATAGGAAATCATTTTATTTATTAAATATGACAAGATGCATTACGCTTGGAATATTTTATGTAGTTTGTTCATCGTTGCACTTCCAAGTTTTTCATAAATGCATAAAAAGCTGCATTTTATTAATAAACGATGGTATCACTTATAATGCAAAATTGTAGTATTACATTTCAGTATTCAAGCTTTGCCAGTACGTTCTACAGGGGAAAATAAGACTGAAATATTTATAAAGTAAGTAAATAAGATAAAATTAATGATTACGTTTTTTAGAAGTAAGCTAAGTAATCTATTATAGCAGTTCTTCAGCGATCTTCCGTGTTAAGAAATATCAGAAATTAATGAACGCGTTAGATTGTGAAACTCCGCCCGTTTAATTCATAATTAAAGACGTTGCGACTTTCGTGCAAGTGCCATGAACCAGAAATGTGCCAGACAAAGCTGCTTGATAAAACATCCAGCTTGACGCATTCGTAATATAGGTCACGTCACATTTTTTGCGAGCGTTACTTTCCAAAGTGAGATTAAATAAAGAAAAATGTGCATTGCCCGACAGTCGCGTGTATATACGTATTACGAATAAGTCTTCTTAATTGTGGCAAGTAAGACGTTCGTGCTTCGGGAAGGAAAATAAATGAAAATCGCTTCTCTGTTTAATCGGACAAGCGAAATCCGTACAGTGACTCATCAGCGATTCGAATCGATGTAAATCGTTCAGAAAATAGGAATTAAAGGGGAACGAAGACGTCTTGGAGAAGCAAAGAATCGGAAGAGTCGTGATAAAGAAAACTATGCACAGAAACGTTTCAATGTGCAGCAGCTCGTGAGAACCACATCATTACGTCGAACAATAGAAAGCTATTGTCGATCTCGTGCCAACTATACACATAGAAACATCAGCAACTTGGACACGTAAGAACGCGTAATTTTTGATCAATTGAACAAGTTTCAAGCTCCTTGTAAGTAGTATAACCTGATATCAGGTCAGACCTGCTCCGCACAATATGTGTACGTACATATACACAGTTTCCTTTAATTACTTTAATAGCACACAAAGGAGAACAAAATGTATACAGATGATTAAAAATGAATTCGAAGCATGAAATATTCGTTTGGAATTAAAAATTAAAGAGAAAGGTATTTCAAGTAACGCCAGTGTTGAAATTGGTTGTTTCAGACATTCCACGTGTTACGTTGTCCTCCGAACATTTCGAAAACGATTATCGAAGTAGGCTGATGAAAAAAAGGCCTGGAGGCACAATGCACGTTTCTCCTTGATCTTCTACCCCTAACAACCGTCACCGTCAATCCGAGTTTCATTACACAGTCGAATACCCTTTGTTCGCCAAGCGATCCCAGTATGAAACCTGTATTGGGCGAACATCTAACGAAGAGACGTGCAACTACGCACCGAGATGACCCAGTTTCGCAGTATATTGCACTTACAGGGAAATCGAGTTCCTTTCTTCGAGCGAACACGCGCTATGAATGTCCCCTCGTCAGCGCGCGAAATTGCAATATTTCACCAGGCGAGTGATAAACAACGCGTAACACGAAACTTTATGAAATGTACAATTAAACTGAAGGATACGAAACGAACCGAAGCACGTGGCAATGTGTTAAACGCGATTTTCAAAATGGTTCGATTATTTCTGTTCGGCGTTTTGCAAATTTGTTTAGTCGATCGATTCGGCATAACTCCTTAAATTTGCCTTAAATTGCAAAAACAAAATCGTAGAGTGATTCGATTAACTCAACAATTTCATTCCGTGAAACGTGAAACTTCTGTTTGCGTTCGTTCTTTCCAAGGATGTTTTTATATCAGAATACTTTCTTTCTTGTCGAAAATTGTACAAATTCAAACGCCACCAAACTCGCTGAAAACTTTTTTTCATTGCTAGATCTACCAGAATCTCGAAGATCAAAAGTATTCAGTTTACATGAATCCCCTAAAACTTGCTTCATGATTTCTTTCTCGCCGTTTTATTAAACCTATACCTTAAATATCGGAGTTGAACAAGAGAAATTCAAGAAATCGTAACATTTTGTTTGAACCTTGATGTTCAACGAAATAGCAAAGCAAGCAAATCACGTACAATTTTAAGACTATTATTTAGCCACGAATAGATTTCTATGCATTTTTAAATGTTCATAAACATAATTGAAGAAACCCAAATAGAAGATTGTTTCTTCGGAATCATAATTAATATTCCTTTTTTGAATATTTTATACATTCTTGCAGCTTCAATTACCATAGATGCATAAACATTCACAGTCTGGTCAACAAATGAACAATTTCTTTAATGTTTCAGAATTGTTTGCGTTTGAAATTTGACAATTTTTCGAGAACAAAAGTGCCTTTGCTGTAAAACATCTTAAAAAGAAAAGAAAGAAAATTAACGTAGAGCTTTTACACTTCGAAACGAGGCCAACTGGATTGTCCATACAATTGTTCACCAATTGTTCAGTGTGCAAATACTTTCGTTTACTTTCCTCTACGTGTTATGTTTGATATGTTACGACTACACTTACAATTGAGCTGTACTTTGCGGAAAGTAGGAGGCACTTCGGTGCAACTGCGGGTATTCGCAGGAATCGCTAAGAGTTTCTCGAGTCCTTTCAAAGTTTATCAATGCAAGATCTTGATCACCGTCCAACCCAAAAAGCTCCAAACGTGATTCAAGACCCGCCTGAACGTCCTGAACTACGCCGTGGAGAATGTTCGGGCTTTTCGAGTGTTTGCGTTTCTTCCTTGGACGTCGTGGACTCTCTGACGCTCTACGCCTCGTTTTACCTGCAACGACGATGCAAATTCATCATTTTCTGGCATGATCTTTCAGATGAGAACGTAGAGTTTTTCAGATGTAATTCACCGAGCTAGCGTACAGCGAATACGAACGAAGCGTTCTGGCAAATTTTATGAAAGAAGCCGTTTTCATTACGGAGTAACGCATGTATTTATCGATTCACGCCGTAATCATGTACGAACCGTTCTTTGACGTAAGCTAACCCTACGTCAAAATATAAATTGCATCGGCACACTCTGCGTAGAGTAAAATTTATTTTTACAATAACTTGGCGTTAATCTTAGACACAAAGGCATCAAAGGTGCAAAGAGCACGCATTCGAAATTCCTCTCGGGTACATTTGCATATGAATTTAAAGTATAATTTCAAAATATTTAATTCTGAATATTGAAATTTCAGATATTGATGTTAAAATGTAGGTTTGTTGGTTAAGATTGGACAAATTCTAAAATATTGATGATATTTCTTATATATTTTTTTTTAGAAGGACTTGAAAATAGGACGAAAATCTACATCTCCATATAGTCTGTATCTACAGTAAAGTAAATGAAACTTATTTTCATAATAACATTAATATAATAAAAACACAGTTTAATGTATTTCTGGTAAACTTTATGATTTTAATCTATTATATATTTATGCTTTTGCATCGTCTTTTTTAATTTTTTTCTTTAGTTTTCTAAATATTTAACAATTAAATATTTTTCTTTAAAATACCCAAATTTGTTGGTACATGAAAACTTTCGTGACTGATTAATAATAAAATAACAATGATGAATAATAAAATAATATGTAAATAATCATGAAAATCATAATAAAAAAAATATACGCAGAGAAGAAAATTTAGATTATTTTAAAGCTGCAAAGACAGCATAATCTTTTAGCCAATCCCCTACAGACTTACTACAGAATCGCCTATGCGACTAGTAACATACCAAGAAGAATAATGAACGTGCTTTTGAGAAAAATAGCTTCAACTACAACTGAACATAATGCTGAGAGAGTATTCTACAAATTCTACTATACTCCAGACTATTATACAAAGTGACTAAAAAACTAAAAAAAAAAGAAAAATATTTTTCAAAAGAAGTGAAAAATTGTTTTTGAACATAATTAAACGTTATTTCGTTAATCAACGAAATAATGTACTTTTCACGTTATTAGTATGCATCTGTTCATAATGATAATCAGGACATAATTCATAATGAGACGCATTTACAAAATGCAGCACACCGTCACATGAATCCGACATAATTACTTTGTGCCAGCCAAGTTGCCAAGATAAATGAATTAAATTTTCATAATTGATCGAGGAATGTTTCTTTAGTGATAACTCCAAAAAACGCGTTCTTCTTTTTTTTTTATTTGTGTCACATTTATCGCGAAATATGTGAGTATATCAGTCTACCCAATTACACATAACATTTTTAAAAAATATCGAAGCTTAAACCTTTTTAACATCGTGCAATGTAAAAGTTATCCACACGTTTGCATTTTGGAAATATTTATTGCTTCGCTGTTGTAGTACACCAACACACCATTACAAAAATATCAAATGACCTATACCTAATAGTTTAGTTTTTAATGGAAAATTACAATACTGATAATCTTTTCCTGCAAATGAAATTTTGGCTACAAAAGTTTAACAGACTAGTGTCAAATTGATAATTTACCAAATGATTCATTCCCAACAATTTATTAGCAGCCAGATTTTAGATCTTTTACCAACAATCTTTCCCTTCTGTAACCAAATGAAATTCTGGCTACAGAGGTGAAGAGACTATTATCAATTTGACAAGTTGTGTAAAAAAAACATTAAACGATTTATCGACAGCGAGATGTTAGATTCGAGTAAAGAATGACACGACACCAATGACTTTTTTTTCTTTTCTCTTGCAAATGAAATTCTGCAGGGTCGAGAAACTAGAAAAGAGTTTCAACAAAATTGATAATATTTACCATGATGGACATTGTGCTGATGATGTTCGGTTGCGTCTCCGATGAAGTCGTGGCACGGAGCAGAATCATGCCTCCTGCGATGATGACGATGATGGTGGTGATGGTGATGGTGGTGGTGATGATGATGGTGATGGCTCTTCCTACGGTGTTGGTGATTCAACGAAGAGGAGGCAGTCGATGTTGAAGTCAGTCTGAGCCGACGAGGACTGGCCGGTGCGCTACCGGAACGCTTGCTCATAGCCGAGGAGGCTTTAATCGCCTCCACCTTCGTTTCCACCAGAGCAGCGAGGACGGCTTCGAGACGTGCCACCTCCATTCCACTGCCACCATCGTCCGTCGAGACTGCCTTGTCAGCGACATCGGAAGTCGACGGAGTCACCGTCATCTCTTCACCCGCAGTTGTCACATTACGTTCACCACCCTCGATGGTGACCACTTTGTAATAAGAACCGTCGCGGGACTTTTCCAAAGCCCGCTGCCCGAACGGTCACAAAGCCGACACGCTAGAGTTCGACTCCCCCTTCTTCTTTCCTCTTTCTTCCACGACACTATCCACTGAAAGCTCTCGTATAAATCGGGACAACATGAAGCTGATTATGTTTCTCTGTTACGCAGCTTCGCTTCCATCCTTCGTCACTAATCTGCGTCGACACTCCCTGCGTATAGTCGCCGACACCACGTCCCGTGGCAAGCTCTCGCAAGAAAGGAAATACGAATCTTGCACTTGCTCGATCCCGGTAATGATCAATGGGGTTCAACGGGGGAGGGTAAGAAGCTGTTAGACCATTAATAACACCACGGCCTTCACTCGTATTTCCTTCTGCCTCGTCTTTCTCGTCTTCTCGTTCCTTTCCTTCACCATTCACTCCAATGGGGGGTAGCACCCCATTAAGACGAATGACGTCCGAGCAAGTCTTCCGTGAATGTAAAGATAACTCCTTATTTCCCTTCGGCGGGAAGATCTTTTTTCTTCATTGGGTTCAACTTTATTTCCAGCGTCCGTTCGTTCCCACGGAGTCTAGCTGTCCCAATTAGAAGTGAGCAACTGTCTCAGCACCTTCTTCTCGTATTAGATCATTACGTCCGGGTTGTTCTTACCTCTTACGTTACACTTTCTTCTGTTACTTTTGACGCGTGTCTCGTGTTTTCTCAGATGCAGCTCGACTCGTCACCTCAAACTTAAACCTCTCGGTTTAAGGATCTCTTCACTTTGACCAACTTCTTTTCCCTACCAATCGATCAACGATCCACCGCACGCGCACATTATCTAACAACAGTTATCAAAAAAATCGTACTGCCTAGCAAACTGACCAGTTCGTAATTCATTTCACGAGTGCAGTCCCGTAAAATTCGTCTTCCGAGCTCGATTTTTGTCTCCATCGTAGACAGCCTCGGCCACTCTTCTTTCCTCGCTCTTTCGTTAGGATCGTTTGAGGCTGACGAAAGACAATGTACATTCAGATCGAGTCCATAACTTTTGCGCCCGTCTCGCTTAACCACCAACGAGAATTCGTTCGTTCGCTCTTCGGATCCCGACCGACTTTACCGGAGTTAGTACCGTTGCAATCTGGCCCGCAAGCGACCAGAAGCGATAAATCGGATTGCGAACCGTGATCGCATTGAAACGTCAATTCTCGCACGGCTTTCAGATCGTCGACCGTCGATGTAAACTCTACTCGTTGAGATCGCCGATCTCGATCGATCGATTTGCGAAACAGTCGTACAGACGGTTTACGAAACGGTTGGATCACGCCGTCAGAATATCGAGCTACGAAGGGTCGACCGTGGTGACGTCCTTTCGAAGTGAAAGAAAAGCCCTGACAAGAGTGTCGCGGCGGCTCGTTCTCGTGTGGCCAACTTCCCTCGACCCTTCCTGGTTTCTCGCGTACCTAATGACCTCGTTCCTTTGTGAAACGCGAAACGAAGGTTGGTCGAAACACGTAGCCATGTTAAGCAGCGTTCGTTGTGAAACACCGGTTCGTGTTTGTGTCAAGTGTGTTGTCGAAATTAAACCGTGGGACGGGGAAAAAGAAAGGAAAAAGAAAAAAAGAAAAGAAAAAATGTCAAGAAGCAAAGGCCGAGGGAAGCTACCACTCTAAATTATCACTGGGGAAATGTACGACGAAGATTCGTTCGATAACAGGGTAATAATCCACGCTCGCTCGTTACCAGTCTTATTCGTGTCTCGTTGCATCGCTGGTGTACGTGTACTCGGAGGAGACGATCGAATCGCGATTTTATTCCCCGGCTTAATAGAATCACGTCGTTAAACGTCGTGGCACGTGTAAACAGTCACTTTTGCATCGGTGGAGTTCGTTAACGCGATCACCACGTGTTTCTTCTTCTTCTATTCTGCGGAATCTTTCATATTACGATAGTAGAAATTTTCTCGTCTTGGCCGATGTTTGGGAGTTTGATTAAATTGAAAGATAGTTCCCGACGCTATGCATTTTTATTACGGTGATCGATCATCCCTAAGAGCACGTAATTTCAGTAAAGCGACCCCCTCTCTATCCGGCAATTTCTGTAAGAAGCGTGTAGCGGTAGATCCAAAGATTGTTGCAAATCTTCGTAGAGCTTTCAGTATCTTTGATAAATCCTTACAACGTAGCGAACGATCAAAATTTTATTTTATCGTGCTATAATCGACTTGACGACCGTAGCAAGTTTTCCTGTCCTTTATAACGTCTTTAACGAGTCTTCTGGCACGACGAACGAATCAAGATCCTTTATCGTGTAACGATCAGCTCGATGGAAATTACAAATTTCCATATCGTTTGGTGACGTCTTTAACGACTCTTCCGATATAACGAGTGATCAGAATTCCTCATCGTATAACGATACCGACTCGATGAAAGTTGCAAATTTCCGCATCGTCAGTAACGACGTCGACGGGTCTCTTGATGGCAACTAAACGAAAGAGGAGGGGCACACGCTGACGGGGAATGGAAAACGAGCAACCCGTTGCCTGCGAAAGTCGAGTGGAAAAATTGTACAGCTCTTCGTTTGACCTATTAAAGTCGGTAAACATTGATGCGCTTCCGACATAAACGACCACAAATACCATTTACATCGAGGGTGCTTGCCACGGGGTCGTTAATGATCCTCGAAATCATCCAACGTGCGCCTCGGAACGTGTGATTCTCAACTACGGTACAAGCTACGTGTATCCTCCGCGTTGTACGCGATATCTTTCCAATTTTAAGTCCCCTGTCGAGTCACTCGAACCCCCATCCGATATCTCGCGACGACGTGACTAAAAAGGAATCGCAACCTGTCGCGCGAACCGAGATCGAAGCTGGACGGTTTCGGTGGAAACCTGCGGCGACGAGGAGGGCCGAAATCCGCAGCATCGCCGATCACGCACGGGTTGTGTGTCCTTCACGGGCACTCGTGGGACACCAGCGCGTTGATTCCCGGCGGATCCATAGCTCAGGCAAGCGGTGGCGTTACGAACAGGCGGCGTACGACGGCGAGAGTGGTTGCCTGCGGTGGTCGTGCATCGTGGCTGGGTCGAAATTTCGGGGGCGGCGTGTATCGAACACGAGGGAAAGGGCAGGGAAAGGGCACGGGACACGGAACACGGTGTCGCACAGAGATACGACACGGCACGTCACCTCGAGCACGTTGCCACTACGTTAGATCGCACGTAGTTCCGTAGTACGATGTGTGTCGTAGCGATGGCGCGATCTACGCACATCCCCGGCCGAGAAGGAATTGCGTGCGCGAGTTGTAGCGATCGCTCGAATACTGGGAAGCGTCGTGGAGCAGACAGGGTTGGTAGGCAGGTGGCCGGTCTGGCAGGGATGCGTTCAGCCCTACCCCTTCCTATACCCGACGCCCGCCACTTCCACCACCAGCTACCCACCTCTTCCCTCCGTCGCCCGCTGCGACGACCACGCTTCCGGCGACCTCCCTTTTTGCCCATAGTGCGGTCACCTTTGGCTCTCTGTCCGTAATCGCCGAGATATCGCGTTATGCGGCGATATCGTGCTCTTCGTGCTCTTTCCTTCCCTACGTTCCCTTCCGCCGCCGACTATTAGGCCACTCGATAAAAATGAGACGACCCGGCGAGAATATTGGGTCATCGTCAGAATCACCGTGGACATTACCACCTCGTAGTATACGGTCGACGAGATCTTGATTATCCGAACTAATTACGGGGGCTTCAGACGAGAGATTCCACCAGAAAATTCTCCACTGTTTAACATTCTGATGATTAATCGTTAATTGATTAATTGTTCTGTTAATCGATGCTCCATCCGCATTAACATACTGCTGACGAGGTACGAGTATGCCGATATTTGCATGCGCGGTGCAAGTCCGTCGAGATTAAATTTCGGTCAATGTTCCATTAAATGAACTTCTACCGATTAGTGAATCTGTTTATCTAAATGTGGGCACCCACTGTACGAACTCTATTTGTACGAACTAGCTTCAGATGGACTCAGATAAATGAAGTTGGATCGCACATCGATTTATGAAACTATTGAATATATATTATAAAATGTACGTATTTAAAAAAGGGGAAAGAATTTTAGCTCTCCCCCAGTTATTTTGCCATTTTCAGTATAACAGACCAGCGATAATTGTAATATATTAAATACCTTCTAAACAGTGTTGATTTATTAAAGCTCAAAAATGTGTTGGTAAGATGTTGGATTTTAATACTTGTGGGAGAAGCTATCCTCTATTGTTACCACCATGCCGAAGAATTCCAAAACTTTCTTTAACCTTGTTATTTACAACTTAATCCTCGCATTCCAGACGTGGTACCTTGTGGTATAAACTTCATACCCAACCACATCATAAAACTTGTATGCTGTGAATAATAAAAAGAAACGACGTTATAGTCCTTTCTGAGTGAATCTTTTCGGGGATTTTACACACAATAGTTGCGTATTTCTAATCCTTTGAAAATATTCGTGACGTTCAAAAGGTTTCATAATATCATCAATATCAGTATGATTTTTTATTACGAAGTTATAGCAATATAAAGCATTTTAAAGTGTCGATAATTTTTTTATCGAGTGTGAGAGTGGAAGGGAAGAATTATCGACACTTATACAACTTCTCAATAAAAAATTTAAGAAATATAAAATTTTAAAGTAAAAAACACAAAAACACATTTATAAAAAGAAAAAAAGTGTTTAGGTGATTTCTTTTAACTGAAACATCCTGTGTATATGTTAATATGTGGAAAAGTATATAAATCTTTTAACATTAAGTACAATTCTATTGTAGAGTAGCATACTGAATTGATCAAACGATACATTTATCTAATGGAAGTTTGAATACTGTATCGTGGCGTTGTGGCAGTCATTTCCGGTGCATATGGTATGAAATATATTTGATATTGTTCATTCAGAGATTGTATTTTTATATCTGAAATATGAGAACATAAATTCAGAATGAATAACGATAGACATTTATCAAAGAAATTATTGGAAATAATTTCGATAGAATGGTAAAATAGCAACCGGAACAGGTCATGCTCGTGAACAATGCTTTCCCCAGAAAGAAGAAAAACCCGCAAAAACATTCGAACACTTGTCAATGTTTTAACTCTTCATATTCTGGCTGGTATTTAAACGTACCACTCTGTATAAACGCTTCCTCATAGTATTCTAAGAAAATGAATATTCGAACGGATTTGTCTGTCAATTAATTCGGATAATCGACGTTCCACTGCAGAGAAATAGAAATCCAGCAACTATTCTAGATTTCTGCATGTTAAACAAGAAAACTTCATAGAATTCCTACCCGGTGTCTCGTACCGACAGAATGCAAACTAATTGCAAGAAGAAAAATATCATGTTGAAATGAAAAAAACCATTCCGTTTACTTTGACGTTATTCTTCTTTGAAACACAATTTTTTATATCAAAATTTTAGTTTCCACGGTTAGCTTTGCTCGGTAATTCCGAGAGAGATTTGTTGAGCAAAGCTTTTCTGAAACTACAAAAGAATTTCTTTTTAATACGACGATATTTCCTCAATGAATGTAATAACTCCGAAACTTTTTCGAATTTATTACTTGAAGTGACATCGCATTAAGCAAAAGTGACGTTTATACAGATTTGGAATTATAATAAGCGAATAATTTCATTAATCTAGCTATTTTGTGAATTTTATTCTATGAAAAACAAGAAGAAATATAATCAATATATTCTTGTGTTGTTGTTCATCAATATTCTTATTTATATAGTTATTTTTGTCTTTTATATAATGGATTTGGCAAAATTAAAGTATCTGTTAAATTAATAATTTAGTTTGTTATATATAATTTAGTTGGTTAGTATTCTTTTGTAGAAAGATATACCTATTAATGGATCAAATGCATTATTAAACGACCTTTGTGCAATGATCTATCAAAAAAAAAAACCATTAAACATCAGATTATGTGCCCTTTGACATAGAGCAATTTTAATCTGATGCATTTTTTCTTCGCCAATATCAATCGAGATATTTAAGTATTTTGTTTTCTATGATCTATCTCGGTAGAAAAAAGACGTGTCCTTCGAGAAAGTGTATCTTAAGTCGTACATGATGATACGTTAAACAGGAGAAAAGGTATACATACATGCACGCGTGACAAATGTGAAAAAGTTTGGCGTTGCCTTCGCAGATTTTAATGCAGCTAAAAGATCAACAACTCTCAATGCGCGGCATTGTGCATATTTTCCCAATATCCTCGAAGTTACTTCGTTCTGTGGAAAATCAATCTTGCATGAATAAACAGATAGCCGTGGCAGCCTGACATATTAAAAAGAAATAACGTTGTTTTGTAAATATTCACCTTCACAAAATATTCAATATATCTCTCACGTTTGGAAGTGAATATGTACATGAATGTACAGGAAAATGTGAAACAAACTATCATATATTACAACGGCTATTCACAAGAAACAGAATTCACTAGAATAAGGATTCTTGTTATTTGTTCGTGTCAAGATTATTAAGAATGAAGATAGAATGGCAAAAGTTATACATTACTACAGCGAAATGCACCGAACGTCATAATGTATTCAGCCTTCTTTTCCGTTCCGGAGCATATCGAAATGTCAGAATAACAAACAAAATATAAATATTCATGGTTAATATCGTGCGATGCTATTGGAATTTTAATATAAGAGGTACAATACTTATGAATTATTGTAAATGAAAAATTTATTGCAGTCACTCTTCGAGGAAGATATTTGCAAAATTTACTTTTAACGATGCAGCGTAACATCATTTTCCTATTCATATTTTCGCACCCCAACGTCCTATCCGTGAAAATTTTTAACCATTTCTCAAATAGGGAAAACTTTTTTCATATTTTCCAAGAAAACATATCACAGCTCCGAGTGTCTTGTACATACAGTACGTAGCTAACGTAATAAAAGAACTGGCACACAGTGATCGTTATGCAGAACAAATGAAAATTCTCCGACCTGGGCTCAACGTCGTAAGCTAAAAAAAAAAAGCAGCCAAGTAATTTTATTGATCGACTTGTAGATTCTTGAATGTCGTCGTTAAAAATTCGCTGCAGCAGGCCACAGATTTTTTTATGAGAGAAGAAATAAACGGCCGAGTTCTGATGTCAAGTCTTTTACTCGATATAGCTCGGAGTATTTTAATTAATTGAGTAGGAAAATAAGAATTCAAATTTCTATAAAACTCCCCTATGAAAATTATGTTTATTTTATAATTAAACATCATGCGTTGACATCTTTCTTCGATCTTTAACTCTGTCGTCTGCGTCATTTTCTGGATCATTTTTCTGTAAAAAAAGAACATTAAACGATAGATTAAAATCCAACAGAATTACATAGAGTGTTTTGTATTCTTTCTGTGAACTACATTATCTTTGAATTTGAGATTTTTTTTAAACTACTTCAATCTCACATTTCTTTAAATATGCTGATATCTTTTTAAACGTGGAGACTGTACAAATAAACGTACAAGCTAAAAATATTCATTAATTTTTGTTTGTATCGCTATTTGTTTCTTTATTTCTACTGCTACGGATTATTCTATCCCGTCTTCTAAATAAAGTAAAAAGCGAGCATGTCGGTGAATGCTTTCGTCAATAACCTTTGGCACAACAGAATCACATCCACCATACGCGATTCCTCAGTATCGTATAAAAGCAGGTTAGCCTCGGCTAGAGCAGAAATCGATATTTCTAGAGTTCCTATGACGATAGCCCCATCGTAATGCATATCAATCTTCAACTCCGACTATAACCAATTGCATTCGAGTTTCAATCAAAAGCATTTGCGTGAATACGTCCGCAAAATTATATTAGATAAGCATTAATGGATGTGTTTCTTATTTTTAAAAATGCTGAATTCGAAAAAATTCCGTAACTATAATATCTAAAATTCTTGTTTACGAGTATACTATAATTACTATATAATTAAATGCAGAGATTTGGTTTGCCAATAGAAAATGGAAAGATAGCGTGATACATTCGTGAAAATTGCACGGTCTCGAAACGAGAAAGGGAACGATACAAATACACATACTTGCTGAATAAGCTGAGCTTGTTGGCTGGTAATATAATCTCGATGTTGCGTCCGCGAGAAGGAAATGGGCGGTGGTTGTGGAAAAGTTTTATCTCCTGGATTACTCCTTAATTTCAGAAATAAAGACGTTACCAGGACAAACGGCAACGTAAGTATCGGCAGTTTCAGCTGTACATAAAATTATTTATCCCATAATTCTATATTACAGTACCATCTATCAAAGTCGATCAAGATTAAGCCAATTATTTTGCAAATAGAAAACAACGATATAAATATAATTACGTTTCTAAAGAAGAATAATATAGCATATTGTACGATCACGGTGTATACGATCGCTACAATCGTAGCTGCAGCTGTTTGTCCGTTGAGGACAAAGAAATTTCCTCCTAATGAAGCACCCGTCAAGAAAGTGTTGTAACCCCATAAACCGGTATAAATTTCATCGATCTGCACATCGAGCATTAAACCTAAAGAGGGAGAACTATTGTAGAAAGATAGAAAATATATATCTTCTTTAAAAAACAAAAACATTTACAAGGTACACTGATTCGATCTTACGCTCGATAAATTCAAGGCTTATACACAAAAATAGTATAATACCCGCCAATGAACCGACGAGTGCACCCAAAAAAGCAAAGCCAGCCGTTATCGGAGAATAAAGTAGACAAGCTAAATAAACCACGGCACCTATAAAAACGCTTTCAACTGCTAACACCTGCGACGCCGACACTATAACACCATGAAACATCTGAAAAATGTGTAGGATATTAACTTAACTTGCCATTGAAAAATTTACTACATTCGATGATATTAATAGCTACAGTGAGCAACTAATAACGATGAAAAATTTAAATTGTCGAGACTTCGTAAAAATATATTATATGACATTATAATATAAACATGTTCATGTTGTAGTTTAACGAAACAAAATAATACGAAATGGTTGTTGAAGTCCCCAGAAAATTCGTGGATCCGAAAATGATTATTTGTGAAATAATTTCAACGGTGTGACGCATGATTGAATTGTGAAAAGTGGAGCACGCGCAAACTTTACCATTCCCCAGTCAATGTGGACCCCTGTCGCATTTTCTCCGATGAAACTGACATCGCCTATCGTCGCATCACTTGTTGCATTGTCCTAGAAACAATGAGAATGTACCGTATAAACAACTGATCATATATATATATGTCTGCGACACACATAGCACGTATATGTAAACGATTGCGATATCTTTTGTTGAATGCATGTAACCCCGCGCTCAAAACTGGGCTAGTTCGTCCATTGATATCCGTGACCGAGAGAAAACGCGGGTTAAAAAACTATCCTCGCATAAAAATCGACGAAACTTTCTTTCCACGTCTGAATTATTTAACTCTACGTCTAAAATAAATTAGTAAACTTTCCTTCAACTAAACTGATTACGCATGCTTCCTCACAGCTGGGTAATATTTGGCGAAATAAATATTTCAAATGCTATTTTAATGTCTTAGATTCTGCTCGGCTTAAATAGTATTTTAAAGACAGAACGTAAAATTTCAGCAAATGAAATGTTTTCATTTTAACAATGTTTGAACTATAAAATAAAATGTTTTATTTTAATGATCTGAAGCATAAAATGAAATACTTTTAATCTCGCTTAAATTATTGAGTTATGTCCAGTAAGTAATACGATTTCTTCGATTCATTCTTTAACTCAAAATTTAAGATTAATTTCTATCGTCGAGGTATTGAACGAAATTAAAGTAGGAACAAGTAAATAGTTTAAAAATGAAGAAAATAAATTTAAAAAAATAAAATCCATATCATTCTATTTCATATTTTCAATATTCTTCAGATAAGATGGTATTTTCAAAACTTACTATTTCAAATAAAACATTTCATTTTCAAACTTTTACGCATATTTTAAAATAAATAAGATTGTTTACTATCTATCATTTAGAATAGTATTTTACCCACGACTGTATTTTCAAATTTTCATATTTGCAACTCAATAACGCCTTTGATCCTCGTAGCTTATGCATCGTAAATAATAAATTTACATTACGTATAGTTTTGGCTTTCGTATGTATTTTAAATTTTTAGTAAAAATAGAAAAAAAAAAAAAATAAAGGTATAAATGTAATATCATTTTGTTGATTTTCAGTCAAGAAACAAACAACAATGGGGAAGAATATTTGTATTGATCGTGTGTGTGCTACACAGTGACAAGCGGCGTGGAAAAGCCTTTTAAGCTTCGCAGCTTATGTTGGACAATGCTAATATAACTAAACTTGAAATTATCGTTTCTATCTGTCGCTAATCAACTCAAATGTTACTTGCTACTGTTCACGTTAATACAAGATAACGATGAAAAACGATTACGAAACCCTAATCAAAAATGTAATCACATATTCAAGAATGTATTGCACGTTGTTGAATGTTGCACGAAACACGTATCACGCGAAGCGTGTAAAGGCTGAATATTTCCTAAAAATATTAGTGACACCGAAAGTGTTAATAGGCAAAGTCAAAGTATTTTAAGATATTACTTTATTGGCTCAATTTGTTTCTTTTTTGGCACGTACAACTATCAAAGAGATTTTAATGTCAAAATATGTAGCATCACATGGTTCTTATGAAGTATTATTGTAAGAATTAATAAGAGATTTTTTTTAATAAAACAACAAAAATTTTGTAATAATGTACATGTAATGGTACACGTGCTAAAATAAATTCTTTTAAGTTTACTCTGTTATCGAGCGATATCTTTATGATCTTTACATATCTTTATAACCTTTATGATATCTTTATATATCTTTAGGTCATTTTCATTATTTTCTGTATGAAACAGAAAAAAAACTTTTAGTTTAGTATTTGAAATAAAATAGAAAAGTTATTTAATACCATGAATCACATCGTGAAATCTAACAAATAAATGTTCCATAATAGAGTGAGAAAAAATTGTATCTTTGGGTTTATCTTAAAAATTTGCGATAACCTTGAATTTGTTGTGAAAAAAAAAATTTTTGAAACGGCTATTATCAATACGTGCTGTGCATACATTTCAATCGATACCTTTTTTATTATATCGCAAACAACTGAAAAACGTGCGAATGATCAAAGTGATAAATAATGTTATGACTTCTAATATAACATATCGGAAGCATAAGCTGATAAATAAATAGCATTTTATGATTACATTTACTATTAACAGAACTCTAAAAATTTGTAAAATGCTGGTGCCGAAAAACTGAGTGTGTGTTTATCTACGCAGGTATTCGCATTAAAAGAGTTGCATTTCGCGACAATACTAAAGTTGAATGCTCACAACAAACTCCATTACCATTCTCATAACTGGTTGCAGTTTCTGCGTCGTATCATGTCCATTGTCTCTGGTATAAAGGACCAGGAGCAACGCAAATTCAGTCAGATTAAACGGCCATGCTATGAATGGTAACTTATTGTTTCTCAAAGAGCGGGCCAAATAGACACTGTAAACATTGATCATTAACCATAAACAAAACTATAGTTATTGCTATCATTTAAATTTAAATTGTTCCATAAATTTTAATCATTCCATAGTTTTTAAGAATGATAAATAAATTAATTAATTAGTCGAAAAATAAAATATTCTTTGATTTAGTTTTACAGTCTCTCTAGTTTTACAACTTGTAAAATGTATTTCTATCTATTTGCGCAAAAACTAGAAAAAAAAAGAAATAAACTGTCGAGTTTTATTCAAATATTTAGTACGTGATATTTATCACTTTACATCTACAAGGACATCATGAAACCCCATTTGTAAGAATTATTGAAATGTTAATACTGCATATTATAGCGAACATTTTATAATAAAAGTTAAACTGGGTATTTATTATATTAAAACTTGCCTGAATATCGTTCCCAGAATCGTCAATAGTATACTAAAACTATCAAATGGTCCATAGACACTTGGTATTAAACTAGAGGATACTGCACCAACCAATAATGGATTGAACACTGTCAACCCATTAGCAATGTTTTCCTGTGAATCTCGTATCAGCTGTGAATGAAATGTACGTTTTTCAGAATGTGCAAATTCATGCGTATTAAATGAAAAAGCCTGGCAAAATGTATCGCGACGCGATCGTATTAATCCTCGCAAAAAATTCCGCATTGCAGTGATTTTTCTTCTCTTTTGTGAAACAACACAGTATTATGTTATAAAAGCTAAAAACAAAATGAAATTGGATGACCAGATAAAGAATAAACAAAAGCATGAATAATGGATTGACATGTTATCTGTTATACAAATCAACAATGCAATTAGTCGCAATTTATTCGTATCGAACATATGTATAAGAAAGACTGGTATTGTAGTATACTTTTTCATGAATATATGATAAATAAATACGTTTAAAATAAAAAATGCAGGATATTAACTTTCAAATATTTGATTTAAATATTTGACAACTACATACCACAGATAATAGAAGACCTAAAAAGCCAGTGATCGCTGAGAAGAGTAACGTATTTGGTGCACTAACTCCTAAAGAAATCGTTAACAATAATCCACTAATTGGATTATTTGCGAGTACAACCTGTAGAGTTATAAGAATTAAATATAATTTTAATTGATATAATTAAATGCAATTTAATTCGAATATCGATTTCTGAATATCTTTTAAACCTTATATTTATAAATCAAATGATTCTAATTAACTAATTAACTGATGTTGAATAAATAATAATTATTTGTATCTATATTTTCTTTTTATTGCTTATACGTTAATTAAAAAGATGTAAAGACTGCTTACTTGACTGAAACCACGTAATAAAGAATCGAATAAGCGCACTGTACTCCAAAAGACACTTTCTTTCTCTAACAAAAATTCTTGCCAAACAGTGAAAGTTCCAGTAAAAACTGCCCGGGAATAATCCTGTGTATAAATTATATTTAGATATGTAATGTCAATAAGAAAAATTTTGACTTCATTTAGGTAAGATTTCTTGAACATTTTTATAAATAAGAAGAATTGATTCTTATAGTCTAATACTCATATTTTTTTATTTAATTTTTAGTACTCACATGACGTGTAGATTCTTTTAATTGGTCTCTCATAGTCATTCTATGGTAGAATCACACAAAATACTACAGATTCACTTTAAAAGTAAATCCTTTTATCCACACTGTGCAAACTTCCCCACTATTTGAATCATATATTACTGATAAAGAGTAATATAATCAATGTGTCATTTGACGTTTTATCTTTCTTCAAAAACTGTGATACCCGGTTGTAAAAGCTTCAAATCTTTCAAAGAATTGTATGTTCCATATTATTAATTTATTAATTTATATAGTTAAAGTGATGATATTAATTCAAAATTATTTTTAAACACAAAATAGTACTAAACTTTTATTGTTCCATTTTTTAATCCACTTCTTACTTTCAGATGATTTCAAATAAGTTTACACGTTTTAAATCATTGGTTTCATGTATCTTTACTCGAAACGAATGTTAATTCACAAGAGCACTGGAGTACACGATTGACATAGCAACCTATATAATAATTAACGCGATTAGCAAGGCATATTAACGCATTGGTAAACTGCTATAATTTAATGATCTTAGTTTAAAAAACGGTCAATGAAACAGATACACCATGTAATAAATATTTATTATAAATTTCAAAAATGTAAAAAATATAATGTCATAGTATTTGTTTTGAAATCATATATTTTCAATGAATTAAAGCAAGTAGAAGTAAACTTTGACTTAATTAAATCAGTAAAATGTACTATAAAAATATTTTAATCGCGTATCATCGACAATGTGAGCTAAATTGTCTCATTCATATAAAAAAGTTAATTTCAATGTTTATCTCTACTTGCTATTACCTTATAAATTATGTAATTAATCCATACGGGTTGTAGCAAAAAATTTAAGCATCAATAATATAATTAGGATGTACAACAAGCAAAGGATCATTTTCTTCGTCTTTTTGATCTCTCGTAGTTAAAGGTATTATAATTTGATCCTGAAATGCAATAGAAATAAAAACGTAAAAAACAAAATATTTATAGTAAAATTCAAATAACTTTAACTGGTTATTTTACTACATACATGATATGTCAATCTATCAATAATTTTTTCAATAAAATTTTTTCTTTCTAACAACTCTTCTTCTGAATCTATTTGATCCTGTATTTGATCAAGATACCATGCCACTAGTTCTGATTTCTTTAATCCACCTTTGGTATCACCTGTATACAAAAGTAAGATTTATATTTAAAAAATACTTATAAGATATATGTAAGTATTTATGTAAATAATAGAACCTCCCAAGACATACTCGTAGTATCAGTTTCACTTTCAACGCGAGTTTCTTCATTTCTCATATACAACACTAACATATTAGATAAATTTTTATACTCTTCAAAAGACATTGTTAGTTTCTTCTTGTGTTCTATAAATATAATATAAAAAAAAGAAGACATAAAGATAATTATTTCACATAAATATTTATAAAATATTATACAATATATAAAATAAGTATAATTTACGTGTAGGAGTTTCTGCTTCCACATCATGATCCAATGCATTGAGGGCTTCCATAAGAGGTGGAGCTTCATCCATATCAACATCCATTCTATCATCATCTGCTCTTTCTAAATCTATATCCGGTTGTTCAACAGTAACAATACTTTTACTTAATAAACGTTTTGCTTCTGTAACATGTTTTATAGTAACTTCATCTGAGCATTCTAATTTAGCCATTGCTTCTGATAACCTAATAAGACTTTCTAATTTTCTAACAGTAACCCTCCACTTGCCGGAACTACTACCGGTTCTTTGCCTAAGTGTAGTATAACTATCGACTAAAAAATCTGCCGCTTCCTGAAATTGAAAGAAAAATCAATACAGATAATTTAAACAATAATTTTAAAACAGTATATAATAATACCTGATTTAATATAGGTTTAAAATGTTTGGCAAAATTAATGTATCTAGCGATCTCTGATTGTGAATATACTGTATCAAAACCTTGCCAATTATCGCAGTGTAAATCAATAATTCTTTTAGCAATTGCATTATCGACGATTTCATTACATTCATCAACTATAACAAAGAATAAGTCAAATCTGGACATAATAGGAGCCGTTAACTGAACATTTTGTTGAAGTGATTTTTTCCTATCGTACCGTCCACCAACGGGATTCGCTGCTGCTAATATAGATGTTCGAGCGTTTAAAGTTGCTCTTACGCCAGCCTAAAAATGTATTTCTACAATAATATATAATATAAAAATTTAATATGAATTATTATTCAATATCAACAAACCTTAGCTAATGAAATTGTCTGCTGCTCCATAGCTTCGTGTATAGCCACTTGATCCCTGATGTCCATTTTATCAAATTCATCGATACAACAAATACCTTGGTCGGCAAGCATCAAAGCACCAGCTTCAATAACAAAATCAGGCGATTCTTCATCTCTTACTACAGCAGCAGTTAATCCAGCTGCAGAAGATGCTTTCCCCGAAGTATAAATCGATCTTGGTGTAATATCAGTAACGCTCTTCAAGAATTGTGATTTCGCTGTACTAGGATCACCAACAAGACAACAGTTTATATCCCCTCGTAATGAGGTACCCTCTAACGTTGTTTTTGGCACACCACCAAACAACATCAAAGTAATTCCCTTCTTAACTTCATCGTTACCGTGTATAGCAGAGAATAAACTATTGACAAGATTTTGATAGAGATTTTTATCACGACTCATTTCATATATACGATTCCATTCTGCTTCCGACATTCGTTTTTTCATCATTTCTTGAGAAATTTCTTCCATATTTGTTTCAGTACCTCCAAACTGTAAAAATTAATCAAATAAAATACATACATACAGAGGGGTTTTCAGCAAAATAGTTCTAATTAATCTGTTATACTCTAAAAGTTGTTGGAGTGACACTGCAAGCCAAAAACGCTGTTTTATACGTTAATTCACGTGTTCCTAAAGCTTTCAGTCCTGTTATGCCTTCTCCTTGATCTCCTTGCCTCCGACGTGCTGTTTTAAGATCAGCTTTTACACCACCAAGTGAAAGAACTGCTACATCTGGTACCACTATCATAGTTCCTGTAAAATCATATCTGAAAATATACAAATAATTTAATAATTTTTCGAATAATTTATTATAACTGTAAAAAATATTAAAACTATGCTACTGTTTTTAATAAAGTACCTATCACCAGCTTGAATAGTTTCTACAGCTTCTGCTCGTAAAATTACTTCAAGTGAACGTGGAATGCAGCCTCTAGGAAGTTCTGCTTGCGTTTCTTGTATCCTGATTTTTTGAAAATCAATAAATACAGAATTATCTACATCTAGGAGAAAGCGTCTCCTGTTACTACATACTGGATTATGACAAATTGTTGGATTACAGAACTGTAAATAATTATTTAAATTGTACTCATTTCGTTATAAATATATCAATAACAATATTGACATTGTACCTTAAATTGTTGTTCCACATTTTTTATGACAGCATTACAGTCCATACAAATAAATGTTCCTAACACTAATTCTGGATGGACAGGATGTGTTCTGATTACTTGGCCAGATATACGTATCAATGTGCCAAATTTTGAAGCATTTAATTCTCTTAATTTCTGTCTTGTAGGAACTTCCACAAAGCTTACGTAACATTCTTTTTCTTTTCTCAAGTCTGCAACATCCTTGACATAATTACTAACAGCTTGGCATAGGTATGGATAAACTCTACAATAAAAGATTATAATTTATTAAATAAAGACAAATAATAAAACTAATGTAGTAAGTAGAAAGAACATTATAAGATCTCACCTATAATATTCTTCAACAATGGTTGTTGAGAGTACTTGATTGTATTCATCCACATCATCAAAGGTCACTTCTAATGTACTCTGTTCTGGACTTATAAGTTCTTTGGCTGGTTCAAGGTATTTTACAATTCCGTGTTCTTTAAATCTAATTAATAAAATAGAAACACATAATAACAAAAACAAATAAATTTGAAATATCGATTATCTTTCAACAAAGATGAAAAGTTTACTCTTCCAAGAAGTCTTGAAATAGCTTTTGACATTTAATCCCAACTTCGTCAGGTACACGTGAATGAGCACTCTGTGTATCTCCAATATCCATTTTACGAAATAATCAATGATTACTCATTAACAGAACTCTATTTCAACAGCAACAGTAAGCAACAGAATGAACGCGCGAGAACAATTTGGCGGGAACTAAGTTCAGGCGCGTTTTCAAAAATTACATCTATTAAGTGTTTAATATAAAATGCTAAAATAAAGAAACGTAAATTTCAGTTCTTTGTACAACATTTATATAATATGTCAATTACAATATTACTTTTATAAATTACCAAAGTTTAAATTACTAAAATTACCAAATAAAATACCCAATACCATTGACTAACGATAGAATAGATGTGACATCACATTTTGTACGCCCTCTACGATTTTCAGCGGCAGACATAAAAATTACATTCAACCATAGCAAGATACAGAGTAGATTTGCTATTCAATGGTTTTTCGTGTGATGTGACAACACTATCCATATTTTTTGATTTTAATTCTCATCACTAGTAGTGCTGCGGTGCAAAATCTGTCTAAATTGGTACAACAGGCTGTGACACGAAAATGGTAACGTTTTAAATGGCAGTGTTTATTCATATACTTTGTCCGTGTCTGTGGTTATAGAAAGCATTATAATTTGAATATTTTATACATTTTTTTCGTATAATATGCATTATGAGCAATTTTTCATTTCACAATTTCCTATAAATACATAAACATGCGCAATCTAATTGTAAAATATCGTCATTTCTGATGCTATCATAATTTTTTCTCCTTTAGAATATTTTTCCAGTCGGATTACCGACATCAAAAGATGGAACTATCATACAGCGCACTCTGTGGTGACAATGTGAACAATTTCATACGAAAATCCGCATGCTTCTCTCATCATTTTCTTTTCTATTTCACTGCCATTTTACATATTGTCATTGATTAAAAATAGTCAATGATATTGTAGTTCTGATGACAAATAATATTTCAATTTGTTATTTTTATTGTCCTATAAACATCATTATATAAAGAACAAAATATACGTAAAAAAATCACAATTAATTTAATATATTATTTATTAACTTTTTACATAAGATATGTTATTAAAAATAATTGTTATTGAAAAAAAATTGTATGCACTGAAGAGAAAATTTCTCTGTCAGAAACTTGTAAGTTCATAGAATTTCTGAAGTATTGATTCATCAGTGATTTATTACACTTTGTTATGCTCTCATTCACAGAAAAAAGTTCATTTACGCGCGATGATTAAGTATGATTCAAATATCGCGCAGAATTGGTAATTACAGGTTTCGTCACATAAAGAAAAAAAGAGAAAGTCGAAAAATCTTTTAGTATGTAAATAGATACGTACTTACACGGTGTATACATTTCCTGTGACGGACAAGACTTCGCTCTTAGGACAAGTAGCATTATAGGATATAAAAGGAACTCCAACTGCGTATTGTCGTTTTAGTTCCTCCGAAAACGTTGCAGGATGTTAGCTACTGTCGCAGATATTCTTTTTCTTTACTTGGTAAAATTATATTCTTTTTCCTCAAGTTACTTTAGCCCAGTGAAATTGTATTTAACTTTAATTTCATTTGCACATTATTAAATATATCTTTTTAAATAGTTCGCATTTAAAACTCGTGTTCGCTTCTTTTTGAGATCAAAGGCAGATATATAAATTCCATTCAGAAAGATTTTATACAAAATCAATATTGAAACGGTGGAACAGAAGTTGATTTTTAATTGATTTAATAACGTTAATTAAAGACGAATTAATTGTCTATCAATACTGTATTTCGTTTTTATATCAGTCGTAGAATTTATTTCGTATTTAAACGATAAAATTGAAGCTGTGATCAAAATTCAGTTCCATTAAAATTAAATTCACTATTCAACTACAAATCAGTACTATTTCGAAAAGAATGTAAAGGCGTGAAAAGTGCACGATTCTAATTAAATGAAAACTGTCCAAATTCAGGTAACGCTTGCCTGTATGACCAGTGGTATATTGACAACAGAAGTTCCTCGGAATATCCAACCAGTAACAAATTTACAACCTCCATCCCTTAGTTATCTTCCAACTGTGAACACTGTGTTTCCAAAACTTTCTCAACACGCTGTTTTCACTGACCAAGCTTTGGACAATGGGTTAGAAGATGTCCGGGCTTCAGGTAGAAGCTCTGCCGAAAGACAAATACAATCTGGATATTCATACCTGAAACCACTATTGATTCATCTCAAGTTACCATTCAAAGATCAGACGATAAAATCAATCAGCAGTGACAAGCAAAGGTAAGAAATTCACTCTTAGAAGCGTACGAATGAAAACCACGGGTGTTTCACTGTTTGAATCAGTTGTTACCTTCATTAGAATCGTTTCTCTGTTATTTGCGGCATTGGAATTATCGGGGAAACGTTCATCGTTATTTGATGTTCCGACTTGATCCGCTTAGTTCTCGATTATTCACTCGCAATCAAGTAATTGCACGGGAAAAAGGAAACCTTGGTGGTCCTTTAATTTATTATATAATTGAGAACAAATGTTCTATATATGTACTACATAGGTTGGCGTACAGGTTCTGTACATACGAGCTATGATAATGATTGTTAAACGTTAAGTTAGTATCTACCACGATCCGCGGCACGAGCGTAACTCGATATCACGCAGCAAAGGGTTGGCATTAACATAAATCACTGGTGATAATCGAGGTACGCCCTTCACCGACCCTCGATAACGCGCCGGACTATTTTGCATTTGAAGATCGTCGAACGAAGAGGAAAGCTCCGGGACAAAAGCAACGACGAGGGCAAGTAAATCATCGGGGCCAAGCAACAGAACAACGCTGCAATCCGTGGTCGGATATCACCCCCACGTTCCACGGCGTTCGGCATATCAAGTCGTGGAAGAGCTCGATGAATACCTAACGGACAATTCGGATCATGCAGGATTGCCCTATCGTGGGAAAGCTCAGGCAACGAATCCCCATCGTGATTCGCAAGACATAACGACGGCCATCAAAGCTCTCGATCACTTCCTGAGCGGGGTTCTAAACGATGATAGTTACAACAGCGAGCTACATCCACCGCCCAATCCTGTTTTAGCCCTCGTCCTGTCTCGATACGGGCGATACGTGCCTCGAGCACGAAATCCTCGCGTGTACGCGCACATGGCCGTAAACAATATACACAACAACAAACCTTTTGGTAGTTACAAGCTGGAATGCGAAGAGCTGCCCACCTACGCTCGATGATAATATCGACAGACGTTCCTCAGTTCTCGCTTACGGGAAAAAAAATCTTACCTGTTGGACACTCTTGGATCATGTGCAACTCCTATTAACTCCTCGATCGCTAAACATGATTGAGAGTGTTGTAATTTCGTAAGATCGATCTGGGCACACTTCGAAGCTTGAAGTCTTTATTTTTGCAAGCGGTGCAAATTCATAAAGGAACTGAGATGTATTACAATGGAGCTATGTTTGAATTAATAAATTTTCAAATGATGGAACAACTAGTTTTCATAGCAAAGCAACATTTGATTGTCGAATCAATTTATTTAAGAATGTTACATATTTTTTGACTGAATTGCCTAATTTTTTATTTATTGTTAAAATATTATATATTATATATTAATAATAAAATATAATAAAATATTATATATATATAATATATATATATATATATATATATATATATATATATATATATAATATTTAATGTAGAATAATACGTGAAAATAATAACTACAACGAAGAGTTGATTTATAATGGAAATAAATCCTCTTACATTGTGCTTTATTTTAAATATCGTGCTTTTATTTTAAAAATAAAGTCTCATTTTTTTCTGTTACAAAAAATACGTTAAGCAATATAACAACGTAATATGTGTAATATAAAATAATGGTGGAGTATTTTATTATACACATTATGGAAGGCTCTGCTGTACTAAAAATTATCGAAAATGTTTTTAATCGAGAGTCTCTTTTATTTGAAAATGTGGATCGACAAATAAGTGGTAATAAATAATTTCGGTTTAATTACCGCGTGGTAATTAACATCATTAAATTTATTCCCGTCTTTCTTACTTCGTACTTCATATACGAAATAACTTTTACCCGGCAGTGGAGAGTCTGGTAAACGGCCATGAAGTTAATTAATAGCTTACACACGTGCTCATTAACGGCACATTTACTTAAACTTGATATAATTTTCAATACGGTATAATTTTCATAGGTTCAATCTCACTTGAATCAATCTGCTTTCATTCATCGATATCGTTTGAAACCACTGGCTCCAGGTTGGGATCAGACTGAAATCACGATGTTCGCCGGTCGCCGATGTTGCGCTGATTATTAATTATACGAACGACAGCTCGGATAGCCGGTATTAAAGAAAACTTTCGAGTACTTCCTTCGTAGCCCATTCTAAATTTAATCAATATCATGCGGATTTACCCTTGAATCCTACCGGCAATCGGGCTTGGCGCGAAGTTAATTGGAGTAGTTCGAGAAGCCGCTCGAGAAACCCCGATTAAGCACTAAACTACTCTCATTACACCTTCCTGTCTCTCCGGAAACCTCTCTAGATACTACTAACTTGATTTCATTGATGAAAGCCATGTACCAGCCTCGACTGCTGTTGCTCCTGTTCGGGATACGTCCACCAGATATATGCTAACAAATCTTTTTTATGACAGGGACGAACCTTTGTCTCGGTGACTCAAAGATTCTACCAAATGTTGGTCTCAGCCAAGACGAATCGCTGTTGCTTTTTACCACAGTGACTTGTTTCCAGTTATTAACCGAGCGAGTCCCTCGGTTGGTTATTCAACGGTTACTAATTACCAATTATTAATCTGATATTCGTCAGGCGAAGAAGATTAAGACGAAACAGATATCAAATCGGATTTTCCGTTTAAACCGTTATTAATTTGCAACCGATTTGATGTTAATCGAAACCTTATTTGGATCTGTCAGCAACATTAAATCTATCTCTGCGCATAAATCACTTTGCATTTTGTAAACGAGTCAGAGATTTATTACAGAATTATGATAACGAGTGTACGTATAACGAGAGGTTTACACGTCCGTGTACGTAATTATCGCGTGTCACGTATATATTTTAATGAGACGTTTTTCCATGAAAAAGTATTTTCTGCCCGAACGATATTTCTTCCATTGCTGTTCTGACACGGTTTTTGCAATTTTTTTTTTTTTTACAAACACCGAGGAGCCTGAATCGCGCTACGTACAAATAAATACACCGCGAGTGGTGCAGTGCTTACGGACATTTTCAGAGGTCGTTTAATTTTCCTGTCTCCGGTATACTTGTTGCGGGATCATAAAACGGACGACGAGGGCTTAAGTGGTGCTTGATTGCCGTCCGTCCGCTAGGAAACCAGATTGTCTGAAAATTGTATTTTCAGGACGACAGTCTCCATTAGCTTCTTCGAGCTTTACCAAAGGAGATCGGTTGGCAGTAATAGCTTTACTAATAGGGCGCCCAAGTATCTGAAGACTCGTATAATTAGTTGACATGTTCGAGTCAGTGCGTTCATTTTCTTTCTTTTTTTTTATTTTTCTCCGATACTTTTTCAAACAAGTTTCTTATATACGTTTTGTCTTTTTAATACTGAACGAGGCATACACGGTGGATCAAAAAATGTATTGGCTGTTCCCAATTTTCTTTTCGGCAGGCAATAAAGTAGGCTTCTTACGAAATTGAAATTTGACTTTGAATCTGAGTTTTGAAAGGATACTTAAATTTGTCTTACGCTATTATTAAAGAATTTAATTTATACTCTTGACACGTAACATTTCTCCTCGGTAACAGTGGCAAACGTCCCTTGAGAACGAGCAAATATAAGGATACAGTGAGTCAACCAATATTAATGAGATAATTCCACAATTTCATTGCAACAAACGAGAGGATATTACTGTATTGTTACTGTTCTGCTTTCCGCTTCGTCTTTGTACACAGTTTACGTTTCCCAGCTTTTTATCTATTTATTTCGTTTTTTCTGTCATTTTCTCCCGAGAGTCTCGAAAGGAAGCGTTTGTACGGGGCAAGCAGAGTTTCTCGTATCGCGTATTGTGCATCGTACAAGAGTTCTCGGCGACTTCGAAAAGAAATATTACACCTGTACTCGAAAGAAAAACGTAGATTTACTGACACGGCGGAAAATTCGGAATCTACGCATGCGTGGAATAACAAGGGAAACGGGTAATCTCTCCCGTTCTGGCAAATATCGTGCTCTGTTCAAATTTATTTCCCTTCCACCGTCTCCCTTCCCCTTTTTTCTCTCCCTTTCCTCTTTGGCTCCGGAAAAACCAGACCGACGGAATATAGGACAAACGAAATGGCTTGTTCGTCATTATTTCCAGCCGTGATGCGCGAATTTCTTTGCATTTCCTTCCGTTCTGGTAATCTTCGGAATGTTTTCGAGGCCCTTCAAAGGTTAGCAAACGCGGCTGAAAACTGCGAGGAGCGCGCGCGGTCTGACGTGAACCGCGGCACAGTCGAACCGCAATAAAAAGCAGCAAGCTTGCAGGAATAAAATATGAGAAATACGCTGGGATCTTTTCTCCGGTGGCGGGCTGGGGAGAAAACGAGATGAAGGCGCAAGATGGAGGCTCGGAAAAAGAGGAGGAGGCCGCGTTAACGCGATGTTTTGCTGCGAGGACGATATTCTCAAACGCTATATCCTCTTTCATCTTTCACGTTGCGCTCGTCGATAAATTTTTGACTCGGGTTCTTTTACTCGCAAGCTCTCGATCTAATCTTTGAAATTGCTTCACCACTGTGCTCCAACAATCTCTCTCTCTCTCTAGTAAGTAGACTTCGTTCTTTATGGGAAGAATTCAAATACATTTTGCGAAAAATATTTGACCTCGTTCGTGTTTCATTTCTAGAAGCTACGGCTTCGATTTGAACTGTGGTTCACGGTTGAAACAGGTGTGACGGTAAATTTCTGTGTCGTAGAGAGTTAAACGAGAATTGTCGCGATGTTGATTGTAAAGCGCGAGTTGCTAATTAAAACGGTAAAGCCTTGAAATGTTTTTAATTTGCCACGTTTGATGTATGCAAAAGGAATATTGTAGACGGAATTGCTGCAAATAAATTTCCAATTTTAATTTCTATAATGTTTTAGATTTAAAAGTTTTAGAAAAGCTATAGAACAAATATTCCATTCCCCCCCCCCCCCAAATATAATGTCCTTCCAGTAAAATACGTACAAAAAATTACTATAGAAAAATTATCAATTTTTTCAGTTTGCAAATGCTGTAACAAATCCATTTAGGAATAAGAATGTGATCAAATAATGAAATTCTTGTATCAACTAGACTGTTCTATTAATTATAAACATAACACGTATGTTTCTACATATTAATTTGAATTTTGATATAAATTTCAAAAATGTCGAAATTTAAAAAATTTCATCACATTCAATTGTTTGTATCAAAAGTGTTATACATATATATGTACTTGTATTTTGATAGTTGAAATTATTAGAGTCACAGGTTGCAAATTAATTCTTTTACTCCAGGCTGGCTGGTGATTTCTGTGTCTACAGTTAAATGTTAAATTATTCATTCCCAAACAGGTTTCACATCTTGGATACTGGATTATCGAGTCGTAGGCGTAACGCGTTCTGTCTGGTTCTACTCACTGCAACTACGGCCATAAACATATGTACTACTGATTGAACGGAAGTCGCGATGTCGTGACATTTTCAAGATTTATGAGTATTTGTACAGAGTGAATCCACTTAATGTCGTATTGTTCATCATTGAAATCGGATCCGTTGGTTTATTAGCGTTTGAACATTTCGAACGAAACTTCAACGTGCCTGGACATTGTAAACCATCGAACGTTGATTTAATTTTATATAACCGGAGCCTCAGAGTAAAGTTTGCTTTCCATTGTGATTTATTTATTGTGTAATAATTTATTTATTGTGTATTCCTAGAATTTAACAAAATTTAAACAAACGACCAATGTTTAAACGACGAGCGTTATATTATTGACTGAAATTTCATATCAAACAACACAATCGGTCAATGTTGCCCTGCGTACAAACAACATTAGCAAACACAATCGAAATAAATCGAGGGCAACGATGGCGTTTATATCCAATGTAATAATAACACCGTTGATGCTGTATAATAATATTGTTATATTATTATACGAATAAACAATTAAAATAATTTCTTCGTTTTCAATACGTCGCGGCACATGTCATAAATAAAACACAGAGGAACGTAGGTCAACCAGATAATAAAGAATAAACGTATAAATATTAAATTGTCTTAATCCAATGTAAAACAACAATAAGTGTCAAGTATTAATTTCCTTTGACGTCTTTCGAGGCAAATGATGTTTTTCAATGTTTGGAATACACAGTGAAATTTGGCAAAGAACATTATTTGAAATATTGGATGTGATTTAAATAAAATAATATTTTGAAACATTTTAAAAATAACATAATATTTTAAATTTAACATTTTAAACATTGCTTCTACTAATATTTAACTACTAATAAGATAAATTAAAATAAATAGATCAAATGACACCTTTCAAGTGAAA